TGTTCTTACTCTCTGGATATATATATATATATATATATATATATATATATATTTAATAATATTTTTCTACATAAAAAGGTAATAATATTAATTTAAAATAAATACCTTAAAAATCATAAAAACATTAATAATACTATTAATATTTACTCAAAAAGGTTAGCGCGACCACATTATGGAGGCAATATTTAAAACGTTTATCAAATAAAGGTTTTAATTTAAAATCAAACCGTATCGTTCTCCGGAAATTAAAATCGATTTAAGTATTAAATTTACCTAATGATGTCAATATTTATGATATATATTTTCGTATGTCTATAGGAAAAAATTTTGCCGCTAACGTCTATGATATGCATATCTAAATGTGCAGAAATGTACAGAAATCTCGACTTCCGCGATCGTTTGACATGTAGAGGAGACCGGGGCTAGATCCTCTATATTTTAGAATTTCAAAGTTACAACTTTTCAGATGACTAATTGTTGTGATTGACTGTATAAATTGACAAAGACAACATTCTTCTACGTATTAATGTTCGCCACGACTAATCGTATATTTTGTTTTGTAATGATCAAAATACGAACATGCGGCAACAGAGCCATCTTACTCTGATACAGAGTTCAGTTTTCCAGCGTAAGATAAGAAAACCACATATAAAATATATATCCTGATTAGTAGTTCCAAAGTCTCCGCGAAAAGTCTCCATAGTCCTCTTGCCAAACCCTTAATTATAAGCCAACTTTAACTCGCCCACTTATATGCTTTATTTCAATCATTTTATGAATAAAAATTGCATTTATTACCAGAAACAGTATAACATATACTCGCAAGAAGTTTGATTCTAACTAGTAACACATTGTTTAATTTTATTCAGTCACGATGGAGAAAATATTGATACAAAATTTTAAAAAGCTCGAAAATGTTTTTTTGTTATTACCAAACTAGTTTTCTTCTATTTCTTAACTACAATATGTAGTATTAATTTTTAATGAAATTAAAATGTATTATGAAATTAGAATGTAATAATAATTTTTTAATGAAATTTAGAAAGTTTTAATAAAAAATATTTGTATTAAAAGGATATTTCGCGATTTTATACCTATTATTTCTCTTAAAATAAATATTAAACAAACCAAACCCCTCGGGCCATATAGCTCCGGTTTCCCCTATGAGCTCTCTTGATTGCATCGAATTCGAATAAAATGTTTTAAACTTCGGAATTTTTACTACGTGGCTTAATACAACAAGCAAAATCGCGATAAAAAGTAGCTTATACAAGAAGTGTAGATTTCTAATTTCTTTCTCCCCTCTTCTACTTTCCTGTGAGGCGTATGTCTGCCATTTTACATTTCTGAATCCCGTAATTACGCTTGACCCAAAATTAGGTAACGTCCGCGAATAAAAGGAAGCGCGAAACACCCCGTATATGTCCGGCCAGGTTTTTAAGCTAATTGAATGGAACTGCGCAAAGCAGTAATGACCCAAACACGACCAGACAAAAGCCCAATGCGATAATTCATTTTACGTATTGGCTGGTGCTAATTGTAGTCTCGAATTTCTCGCGCGTTGCGGGTTAATTACCGAATATACGGATATGCCGCAACGTTGTTTCGCGGTATCCTTACTATCGGATGCCATGTACCAAGTGTGCTGTAAAATACCTCTCGAGGAGGACGCGAATAATTAGGAATATTATAAAATAATATTCGCAAATGACGAAGAAGCGCGTGTGCCGTCTAACGCACATCAAATACGCATACTCGCCGTTGCAATAATGAGAAAAAGATCTAGATGAAAAAAATTCTGTCAATCTCATTAGGGAGTCTCGCGCGTCTCACGAAATTCAAACCTGCAGAAACCTTCTATACGGATCTTTCTGTTTCTACAACCGAATTTTTCATCTGGTTGCCAAACGACAGAAAAACAATTACACTAACAGAATTGTTTTAGATCTTTTTTTAGATGGAATTGTTTACAAGAGGAAAATTTACTAAAAATAAATCATCTTCGGGAACTTCAAATGCCCTAAAAATTTTTATGTATCTACTATTATATCCTAATATCCTAATCTTTAAATTAAAAGTCGACGCGAAAACCCAACTGATTGAAGCAATATTCATATTTTTCCTTATCACTTATCTCCCTATTGTTATATAGTCAGTTGTTACCTACTCGCCTTTTTCACATTGACTTTCAATACCATTAGAATATTAGAACAGGATTATACATGCAAAAAAAATTAGTCGCAGAAGCTAAAATACATAGCTGTGATAGCTAAAATATATTATTGAAATATGGACAATTAATGTTGCCCAAAGCTAAATTTATAAGCTAGTTGAACGTCGAAACTACAGCAAGAAATATTCGTTGCTAGACAAAAAATTCCCATTATTATCATTTGACTTTTCTTTTAAGTTTCTTTTTGTACTCGTTAAAAAACTGCCTTTTTGCATTACAAAACCAAAGCAAAGTTTTTAACATAAATTAATAATTAATATCCACTTTAACACAAACACAAAAATCGTTTGTACTTACATAATTACGCCATTTGATCCTGATTCCACAGAAAGATGATTTTACGTCCATCGGAAGCGCGGCAATTTTCCCTTTGCGATGATTCTTGAAAGCCGCTACGACGTCTGCAGGTGGAGTTGTTCACGATTGTATTGATCTGCGCTCTCGATCGGCCAACGTTATCACTGTAGCGAGTGTGGATAAATGATGACGCGCGCGCGCGCGCGAATGGAATGCGGAACACGACTGTGTTGCCAGAAAGTCATCTTATATATATACGCGCGGCAGCCGCGCGGCAGCCGACCTGCTCCCCCCACTCCGTCCCCCCCCACTCCGATATCCCCACTCTACGGCTCAGCAAGCTTAGCCTCGCTCCCGCTCTCTTTCTCCCTGCGCTCACGCGGTCATTCAACTCACTTTCGAAACCAACATAGTGCGCCGACGCGAGAGCGTCGTACGAGCGCAAATTTCGAATTCAAACTTAGACACGTATTATAGAATTATCCGAAATGTATTTCGATCAGAACAATTATTTCCTAGATTTATATCGTATTTTCTAGAGAAAATGGAACTATTTCGATTGAAATACGCCCGTAAACCGAGACAGTAGCATTTTGTTATATTGCTTATCTACGTTTAATTTTCACTTTATTAGACTGAGAGTTTGGAATTTTTCACATACTTTGCGTCTGGCTATCATAGGTCTTTAATTACGTTACATACTTAGTATCTTTTTACATTTATTTTGTCTTTTTCAATTAATAATTTAAGATTTTACTTAGTTGAATGGATTGTTTGCAAAATGGTACAGGAATTTTGTGTTTAATTTTATCCTAATCTACATTCATGCGAAGTATGGGATATTTTGCGTCAGGCATTCTGGTAATATATTGAATATGTTACAAAAAGTTTCTTCTCAATATCCCTAATGGTTCTCGAGAGTTATGAGGAAACATACAAACAAACTGAGGAAACACACACACAAGCTGAGCAGCTTTTCTTTTGGAAGTCGATTAAACATTGAAAATGGGTCGAATGTGATAGTGTGCTAGAGGTATTGTTAATGAGATCTAATAATGGCAATAATCAGCCACATATAATTCCGTAATACGACTACCTTATTACTCGCTTAGAGTGCTCATCGCGTTCGAAAACTCGCCTCAAATCCCGTGTACGAGTTCCCGTGCCCTTTTTATCGCGACAGCGTCAAAGATATCACAGAGTCGAATTCGCCGAAACTTTCATTCCGCGCTGTGGCAGCCACGCTGACTCGTCACGGCGAAGTTATTCGCGCAAGATTCCAGCTCCCACGCGGAATTTAATCTCATTGGAAAGCTCGCCCGGCGCGAAACGAGCCCGGGTAAAACGCAGCGCAGCGTCGAGAAATCTGGTCGTGCCACGTGGTGCGCCAGAAAGATATCACCAAAAATCGCCCCCGGCCTCGCGGACTTCTACGCCGGAAATTAAAGATTCAACGAGCCGAGGGTAATTTCGGAGACGGGGAACAAGGACCGCGCAAGCGGGCAGCAGCGCGAGGGGGCAACGGGAGAGGGTTGAAAATGGAAATCGATGCCGGATTCGGTCTGAGGAAGAAGCAGAGGTAGGGGAGTTACATCCGACATTGTTAAGTCGTATTCGAGGGAAACCGGGAATTCTCGCGGAACAACTATTGATAGTGGAGCGGAAAATACGCGTGCCCGTACCCGTTCCCGCGGGGATTGTACTTTCTTGTGACTCGCGAGGAATTTATTCGGTACATTATACAACGGCATATCGAAGTCCAGTCCGTTTCGAACGCTCCTATGAATCGAAACGAATTTCTCTCTCTCTCCCTGCCTCCCTCCCTCTCTCTCTGTCTTTCTCTGCCAACTCTACTTATAAATTCCACGCAGTATCCTTATCTGACTGCTGTGTCTGCGTGTTTCTAGTCTAGTTTTATGGTAAAGTATTTCTCAGACACACGTCAAAATATTATAATATATTTTCTTTTTATATTAATTTAAAAATTACAATTTAGCCATTGTTAACCCTACGTATACACGCTGGGGTCCCAGGGACCCCAATGCAACTTTGCTAAACGTGCGAAGTCGAGATTTTGTTGCTTTTCTTTTCTCTTTTTACCTGTATATCTCGGAACTCCTTAATTCTATCGACTTTTATTTATTATAGGCTTGTTTCTTAATCAATTCTCTATAGATTAAAGAAAAAATGGATTAAAATATATCAGTTTTTGATAGTTACAATAACAAATATGGATAGGGTTCCCGGGACCCCAGTATGTATAGCACGTAGGTAAAATATAAGTGTGTTTAGGAGAGTTAAATATGTAATTCTAATTATATGTAAATATGTAATCTCTAATTTAAAACTTCGATTTTTACGTATTCTTCTTTGCGTCCGCTTGAGGAGAACCTTCCCAGAGCGCGAAATAAATATTTCTCTTCGTTTGTCTCTCTTTCTTCCTCTCTAAACGCCTTGAATCGACTTCCAGGAGGAGTGCGCGTCGATGATGCAAGACCTCAGCGACAAGATCAACAACAAGCATCACGAGGTGCACACGCACCCGCTGTTGTCGATCTTCAAAATGGCCGAGGTCGAGGTGAAGATGCCGTACAGCAACGAGGCGATCACCAGGTCGCCGTCGGGACTGCTCGTCGTCCTGCTCGCGATCGGCCTGCTCGGGTCGAGCTGCCTCTTCGGCTCGTGACAGGGGCATCGGCACGCCACGAAGAGCGTCGTGGATCGAGCGTCGCCTCCCTCGCGGAGAACCGCCACGTGTCGCGTGCACGTGGCCGCGGCGGGTCCCGCAACGGGGGCCGCGTGGACGAGCGAGGACTCGTGGCCTTGAAGGGCGCAGATCAACGAAGAGAAGGGCTCCCCCGACCCGCCTCCGCCTTCTCCCCGAGATCGCCGCGTGGATCGACGGATCGATCGGCAAATCCGCGCGGCGATCACCACCGAGCCGATCGCGAACTGCGCTCACCGCGCCCCGTGGAAGATATTATTAAATGTACATTGATGTTTAATGATATTTTTGTTACTGCACCTCGACCGTCCTCGAGCCTCGTCCTCAACCCTTTCGACCGCCCGCGCGAGTTGGTTCGGAGTTGATGCTGGAGCATCACATTGTAGTTAGCAAACAATAACATCCTTAATTAGTGATCTTTAATGTGTGAATTGTTTTTTTCTAGACAAAATTTTATGTGGGGAGGAACTTCTTGTACACAGAGAGATGGTTTGATTTCATCTAAAAGCTGCTAAATTTTAACTTCTTTAGTGGTGATTTAAAATGACTGGGTAGATTCTTTTTTAACCGAGCTTATCTGTATTTCTCTTCTCTTTATTATTATTTGAAGAATTTTAAAAAATGTCTAATTTTCATTGTGTATTTGCTATGAGTTAAAAAATGCAACATTTTAAGTAAAAGGAATTATTTATTAAGTTATTGAGTAAAAGAAACTTAATATTTTACCACGAAACTTTTCGTAGGAATGTTACTTAAGGGCTTAAATGAAGAAAAGCTTCTTATGCACGGAGAGAATTTTACAGTAAAAATTACAGCAATAATATATTATAAAATTTTGTAACTGACAAATGAATCGACATTTTGCAGTAATTGACTATCCTTTCATTTCATTTATATTTTGGGAACTGAAATGTACTATATTATATAATTTGCTAAATCTATAGCAAATTTTATTGTTTTTTTACAAAATAGACACTACTAATAGTCTATTCCTATGCCACTGGAAACACAGAGTAAAATTGAAAGGAAAAAGATAAATATTATAATATCCTCTCCACGCACTTTAATTTTGATAATATGATTGTTGAGATCAGTGTAGATAATAACAAATAAAAAATGCAATATAATGCAATATAATAATAACAATTAGCCACTGTTGGCTGATAGAAAAAGATTTATCTAGTCGCGATAAAAAATGGTGATTATAAATCACAGCACTAATGAAACAATGCACACGCTACAAGCTACAGTGATGCCGATTCGCGCATCCCGAAACTCTACATTACTTCCTTACTTCTGTTTTCCGTCTTTATTTCCGAGAGGCATTACGAGAAAGTCGCGAGGAAGATACCCCCGCGGGAATTTTGAACGAATTGCATTTGACTCGTCGCATGTTCCAACATTTTGACAACTCACGCGGCTCGCGGAAATAACAATTTCGGGCGGCGACATCGCGGTAACACCGCAACGACACTCACACCGAGAGGAAATAACGACCGGTGCTCGAAGGGTTGACGACGGATGATCGACGACGCGCTCGACGATCGATGCCGCTTCGAGGTCGGGTCCGATGCGGAAACGAGATTGGCACGGAATATACGCTCGTCAGACGCGCGAAACCAGATGGAAACCGCCGACCGGCCGCGTTCTCGTTTTTTGCGCGCGCGGCCCATCGCGAGTGTCTTGCGCGACGAGATTGCTGCGCGATCGGCATGCAACCGACGTAACCTCGGCGCGAGTTGCATCGCGAGCTGATCATTAACAATTGCGCGCGCTGCTGATGACCCTTGCCTGCACGGTGATTTGCGGTCGGCGGGCGATTCGCGGAGAATAGTCGATGAGATGCACCGACAACCGAAGAGGGTCGAAAGATACGTAATCGAGACGATTTTAAGTTTTACGATCAAGTTGACTAATAAAAACCTATAAACGATATATATTCTATATATAATATAATGTATATCTATATATATATAAATGGATTACTCGCCCGATCGGCAAGGAGAGGGGTTGCTTTTAGAATCGTTAATGCGGAGTGCCCCGCGCAAAGGATCGGCCGTGAGCGTGAAGTTTTGTTACGAATTGTTGCGTCAAGATATCTATATCCCACATATCTGAAGTGAGATTTTTATTTGTCAACGTTGAGATTCCTCGCGTGATCTGTATCGTTATTAATGTTACGCTACGATGTTGGAGAACGAACGCACTATGCGTCCAGACAGCTTCTCGCTTACGTCGCGATCGATCGCAGTAGTAATTGCGCAGCAATCTCGGGAAATCAATCGAGAAAGCGTTAGAAGAGCAATAACTGATAAGGGGAGACGTCGCGAAAGTTGCGGTTTCGAAATCGGGACGCATTCTGACGAGGAGAATCGACAGCGGTGAGCGTTCGTATTCGCGATCTCTCCCGGAACGAGAGAGACAGAGAGAAGGGGGAAGAAATAGAGAGAGAGAGAGAGAGAGAGAGAGAGAGAGAGAGAGAGAAAGAGGTAGAGAGATAGAAAGATAAATAGAGAGAAAGAGAGAGAGAGAGAGATGAGTACCACGGCGCGTGTATAATAAATCGACCGTAGCGTGAGGCAGTCTCTGTATAAATGGCTAAGCACTAATCTACTGTATAATTAACGGCCAAGCAACGCAAACCTCCTCCCGTACTGGACCATTAGGTGTTTGTTAAAGTTGAAACCTAAACCTAAAACACGTGCGTCTGCGGCGTGTCGCGAGAGGCTCGAGTGTGTAGATAAATGTAGATTGTTGATAGCGACGTAAGCGTGTGTGCGTGTGTACGTGCGCGCGCGCACGGAAGAGGTGTATGTAATAGAGGTAGGCTGGAAAATACGGTCGAGCGGGAAAGTCGATCGTGGCCCGCGCGTTTCCAAGTTTCCTCGCGTTTCAACGCGTACCGAGGCTTGTCGCACGGCAAATCGATCCTGACAAATGGTCCCCCGAATTTTTCGTTTTATTATCTCCGTTATCGGGTCGTTTGTTATCCGCGCGCGCGTGCGCGCGCGGATATGTGTACGGGGTGCCTCGGTGGACCCGAATCGTGGAGAAATGGACCGTTGAAATTTCGCCGATAGAAATTACCGCTGACAAATAAGTGATCTCAAAATTCGATAAACGGCACACTTCGCTTTCGTCGGGGAGATTTTTCCTGATATTATCGGGAGATAACAATGGCGGCGCCCGGATACGTACTTAATCCTCGACATTCTTGTCGCTTTGGTCTTTAAATACGATTATTTGAGGAGGTTGTAAGACAAATGAGTTTATTAAGAATTCATTGAGACTCGCACTAAAATAAATTGAAATATTGTTCAACTGCTCGTGCAATTTTGGAAAAATATTGACCACTCGAGATACTTGAAACTAAAGTTGACACTTTTTATACATATTCCTTGGAGTTGGCGTGCTATTTTTAATATCCATTTTTAATTTTTTGCAAACTAAAATTAGGGTTTTAATGATAATACAGACTAATATACTGACATTATGTACAAATTTCAAGATTACTGGCCGTTTTGTTTGGGAAATATAGCGGTGGAAAGTTTACACTTTATAGTAACACTCGAGATATACATATCCATATACACATATATATTTAAACATATATACCTCCTTCTATTATCTGTGTATCTTCATTAGATCAATTATAATGCATAAATGCACAAATGAAGCATTAAAACGAAAAATGAAAGAAAAATATTTTTCGTATTTGTAATATTGTGTGCACATATCAACTTCGCCTCAAATTAACATTCATTATTTAAATAATGAAATAAATGTATAAACACATCACTTTGTTCAACAAAAAGTAAGTTTATGAATTCCTCTGATACGTCACTGAAAGTACAATACTGAGCCTTAGAACCTCCTGAAACTTTCAATATAAAAAAACTATATATTCTATGTTGAAAGTATAAATATTTGCATTTAAAGACCAAAACAAAACAGGATTGTTCAGTACATCTCTCAGAGAGTTGATGTTTTTATCTTACATATTATTTTCTGTCTGCAAAAGATTGTCACGAGAAAACACGAATTACCTCGAAACTATTTGTGCGAAATATTTCAAAGGGACACGAGGATCATTAAACTCTTAACTCTTCGTCAAACTGGAGCCGTATGAATCGATCAAACTTTCGACGCGACATCTTGCTCAATCATCACAAGAGACGAAATCTCTCGGTGTTAAACGCGCAGGCAATGTAAATCATGCGAACGCTCTTCCGTTCCCTACGGCCGTCCCTTCTTTATGCGACGTATTCATGCCATCGATTATTTTATTAGCCCACAGCGTCGATAAGGGCGGCGCATATCAATGCGAAACGGCGCGTCGTCTCTCGTCGCGTCGCCTCGCGTCTCCGTAATTACCACGCGCAATGTCAATAGTTCGTGACTGTGGGAGGCACCCTGTATAAACGGTCGATTTGTCAGGCCGAGAGACGAGAGAGGGTGCGCGAGGCGGAAAACTTGTAAACGGCGGCCGAACGCTTGACATTTACAAATTACTCAGAAATTCACGAGCTCGAATTATTCAGCAGACGGAGAAGTCCTCCCGCCGGCTCGATCATAATCTCGATACTGGCGATTAATAACCCTCGGGATTCCGATAATTATCCCTTCCGGCGACGGACTCGCCGCGCTACCGTCGGCCGTTACCATCAACCCTGTTCTTCTCAGATGGCGCGGAAATATAGCGAGTTTAGTGTTACAAGAAACGGACGCGCGGGCTGATTTTGTCGTACCACGACGTTGAATCCGATCTCCTGTTATTAATTTCATTTGAGCATCACGAGCGCTGTAAAGGCGCTTCGTCCAACGAAATTTCGAGCGTGTTGAGTTTCATTTATCTACATTATCAAATGTGAGACAGGTTAACATATACAGGGTGTTTCAGCTCGATTTCACAATCTCTCGTGACTTCGCAAACTCTTGTAAAGAAGATTGAGGTGAAAACAAAAATCTCTTTTGCGATATTCGCAATAACTATCGAGATATTAATTAAATAAGATTAGTAAATGATAATGCTCAGTATAGTAGATGAGTAGTGACGATATCTGCCGTCGTGTGTGCTTGTATATTAAGTCAAACAAAAAAATCCTCCACCATTTTGCGAATGACCACGTAAATTTCTAGTTATTAATCAAAGAAGATTGGTGTCCAATAAACACAAGGTATTATCCATATTACAATGTCAGCTTGATTGTTACTTTGTCAACTGTTACTTTGTTATATAACAAAGCGTAATATATCATATAATTGAGCTGACATTGTAATATGGATGATACTTTATATTTACTGGGTGCATTATCGCACAAAATCGTACAATTTTCTATAATTTATAATTAAACATTCATATAGTTATTTGTAATATGGTAAAGGACTTTCTTGTTCAGTTCGATTTAATGTGCAAGCATACGACGACAGACGTCGCCATTACACCTCATCTACCATATCATGTGTGACTATTCACAAATCTTCTACAATTAATCCATCGTCGGAAAGGTGAGACACATTCCGTTCTCTTTAAATCTCTGTAACATTTCAGATGTTAGCTGTTATTAAATCTCAATATTCTGTTAGCTATTATTAAATCTCAATATTCCACAGAATCATAAGAGATTATATAAAGTTTAAAAAATTATAAAAATACAATCAAAGAAAGGAAGAGAGAAATTCATCAAATTTCATTTTTCCTAAAACAATATTGGACATTTTTGTTCATCTCAATCCGTTTTATAGCCTCACAAGAAATCAAGTTGGAACATTCTGTATATGCATAAATTCGACGATAAAATTTCAATTCGCAACGCAAATGTCGTTTTTTCTTTCTCGGTTATGCTCAAGAAAATAAGATTACATTATCTCTTAATTTTCCATTCATATTAATAGTATTCTTTGATTAAACTCCTCCCATTATTCCGTATCGTTCATCAAAAGCACTGAATTCTCTATATAAAGACTCATCATACACACAGAAAAACGCATACTGCATTTAAATAAATGTTACTTGTTTCAAGTATTTCGTAAGTTGCCGCAAATCTATTATAAGTTCGTCATAAATATAAAATTTATTCAAAATGCATTCTGGATCCTAATGAGCTTAGTATTTCAATCGGGAATATTAAATTAAAACAAGAGTTCGATTTGCTTACTACATACAGAAGTTGTCAACTTTTTCTTCGATGAAGTTTTATAATATTCTTGTAAAGAGAATCAATTTTTCTCTTAAGTGAGTGACAATGAGCTTTTCTGAAATTTAAAAAATTTGGGCTGTTGTGAAGGAAATATTCCTTGATAAGGATAACAATTATTTGAGAAAAAGATAGTAAACTGAGTAGTCTTTTTTTCAGCAGCAGAATGATATTTTTTCCTGTGTGCACACATAAATAAGAGTAATATTATCGACTACACTTCGGATGTTGTTTTCTTCTGAATCGCGTGCGGCATCACGAAGATCAGTTTCCCTCGCCAAAAAAGATTTCGATTACAATTCGTTCGTTAACCCCCGATTAACGCCCGACTCCGCGCCCATTATATCGAAAAACCGAAAGATGGGAGCCGATCGATAACGCGAAAAGAACAAATCCCCGAAAGCAGATACGGATTATACGAACGGGCGGCCGTCGATGGGACACAATGATACGAATACAGCGATACGAGTACAATGATTTCTGTGAGGACCTCTATTATCCCTGCGAGCCTTGCGGGCTGAATAAAGTGACGAGAATCCGTCGGACGGGAGGATCCTGAGGATTATAATTGCGCTGAAGCTTCCGGCGAATTCCCGGGCCACGCGGGCTCCGGAGTTAACTAATGAAAACTCGCTAGACAATGTAGCGGCAAGAACAATACGGCAAATAAATAATAGAGAGCCCTTCTATGCATATACGATATACTCTATAAATATACGTTATGTATAAGTGCATATACATATATATATATATATAAATATATAAATATGAAAATTTAGGTAACGCGAGATATATAAAATCGGACAGTCGGCGTGTTCTGGCTGCCATATTGTTTGTACATGGACTACAAGTTTGAGGCGACAAGTTGTAATACGGTAATTCGATTTAGGTGGCATTCGTCGTCGATCTGAACGCGTTGATTGCAGTCGCGCGTGTATGCGTGCGAGTGCGACCCCGCGCCTCGTCGTATGCGTGTGAATCCTGCGTGCGAAATGCGAAATGCGAGAGAGAGAGAGAGAGAGAGAGAGAGAGTGCGTTTGTGCGCGCCGATCGCACCCCGGCCGCTCCTTCCCGAATTATCGTCACATTGAAAGGTGTCACAGCGGGATACAGCAAGCTGTCATCAGAGATCGTGACGTATATTTTGCTTTAACATTAATTTACAAGTGCCCCGAAAATATCGTGGATTCATTTTCGATCAAGTCGATGAAGAAGATGGAACTTTCGAATTTCGATATCGATAACTTCAATTTTTCACAATGCATATGAAACAAATGGAAATTGATATTCGGTATGTAACGGATGAGCACTGAAATAGTATGTGTGTGTGTGTTTAGAAACTTATTTTCTAAAGTACAATCAGTACTTTCTAAAGTACAATCAGTACTTTCTAAAGTACAATCATTCTTTACCGCGGTGCTATACTCATAACTGATGGTTCAGTTATAAGTACAGTGCTGCAAGCAATACAATCCCACTGAAAAAATCAGTTAATAGTGGGGCTGCTTTCTTGAATGCAATTTGCAAACTGTGTCATTACGCGCAAAGCGCATGCAAGCTGTTGGTTCCATCGCCACGAACACAGAAAACTGAATTTGACATGACGTATAACGAATCTGTACACTACAGATTTTACAGTGGAATCTTACTAGTAAAAATCAGTGAGAAATAAAATGAAACAATAAAGTGGAAGTGTTTTTCATTGAAAATCTGTGAGTATGCATTGATTGTCGGTGAGAAACTCCTTTTACCGATTCAATCGGAAACATTTTCACTGATTTACTTTAAGGGAATATGATTCGCTATAACATATCTCTTTTTTGTAACGCAAATAAGAAGAAAATAACATTGAATCAATTATTATAGAAAAATAATGAGATAGCGAATCCTACATAAACTACATACCTAAACTACATAGTTACGAGCCAACAAACACACACACACAGACAATTACTAAATAGAAACGGCGGAGTGCACCGCGGTAGATTGTGCGCGCGCGACGTGGATAAGCAATAATGTATAAAGTTTAGGAACCGCGGGCACGTCGCTCAAAGGGACAGCGGATGTTAACGTCACGTTATACATACACGCACGTAGCCAGGATAATTAATATATGTTGATTAGTTAGAATGCGGCGAGAGGAAGGCTAAAACCGTTTCGACGGCGGCGAGACGGGCTCTTCGAGAGCGATCGAACGCGAAGCGCACTCGACTTTCTCGACGATCTCGATCGATCTCGAAGACGTGGACCAAACGCGAGAATCCCACGGGACGCGTGGATCAAGGTCGAAGGGCTGTACTTTCTCGTTTGTCTGTCTGTTTTTTTCCCGGTTCTAAGCGCGAACTTTGGCCGCAGCGACACAGAAAAGTTTAAGCAGTAAAACTTAAACAACTTGAGCAGCAAAATTGGTCAATCACAGTTGATAATTCTTCTTACGGTTCAAGAATAATCGATTGTGACTGGTCAATTTTCTTATTGCTTAAAATCTTACTTAAACTGTGTATTTGACTCTCAGTACTATGATATACAGAACACGTCTTAAAGAAATTTAAGCAGTAAAACTTAAGCAGTAGAACTTAGACAGTAAAATTGATCAACTACAGTCGATTCTTCTTATAGTTCAAGAATAATCGACTGTGACTGGTCAATTTTCTTATTACTTAAGTCTTACCGCTTTTCTGTGTGTCCGGCCTTCAGGGCTATAGCACGCAGAAACACGTCTTAAAAAAACTTAAACAGTAAAATTGACCAGCTACAATTAACGATTTTTCTTACAGTTGAAAAATCGATTGTAACTACTCAATTTTCTTACTGCTTAAATTGCCGCTTAAACTCTTCTATGTCTAAACCCTAAAACTTAAGCAGTATATAAGCAAATCGGTCAATCACAGTCGATCGAGCCATAAGGAGAATAATCGACCGGTGGTTGGTCAATTTTTGCTTACTTCTTAAATCTTACAACTTGTGTTTGTATGCCATCTATCTCAAATGAGAGATGTGCACGCGCTTGCAGCGCAAAGGACGTAGCTCGAGCTTCAATTAGTTCAACGTAGCGTTCGGCAGAAAATTGCACACTCCGTTACCCCGAATCGTGATTCTCTCGTTAATTCAATGGCCGTATATTAATTCGTTATATTTTAATCTTTCCACCAATTACATTCTACGAAAATGCCACGTCAATTAATCTCCGCTCGGCCGAGCGCACCGATATTTTATTTAATTAGCGATTAATTAAATGCGCATCCGAAAATCGCACCGATGGTCGCAGCCGAATTTTCGCCGCGGTCGTCACTTTCCCCGCGCGTTCGACCTTGATCTCATGTGCGGTGTATGTCCCGTACGAGAGAAACGGAAGAGAGAAAAGACACACCCGAGGAGTAACTCGTCGCGAAATCGCGACCATACAGGCGTTTGCTCGAAGGCGTTTCGCCACGCTGCGAAGCGGAGTGTAAATAATCCGATGCGGTGACGTCCCCTCTCCCTCCTACTCTCCTTTTCCCTTCTTACCCTTCTCCTTTCTCCTGCCCCGGTGATCCTGCGACGATAGATCGCCAGTTGTAGACGCACGAATCAGCCGATAAGAACCATTACGCTCAATTACTACTCACCGGCAAAGGTAACTTTTGAAACGCACTGTTCGCTAAAAGGGCGAGTAGCTTTAATACTGCGACTGCATTCGACGGATGCAACTTTCCTCCACGAAGCACGGACATTGCGCAAGGAGAAGAAAAAGAGGAAAAGAAGGGAAAAGAAGGAAAATGAGACGCGCACGTCAACGCTCCTCTCGGCCGCGTATCTGCGAGATATATTTGTTATTTTTTCTTCCTTTTTTAGTGTTCTTCATTTGCGAGAGATCTATGTTTTGTACACACATACATACCTATACGGAAAAAAGAGTTTGGTTGAATTAACGCGTGACATGTTTGCTCAAACAAATTTGAATAGAGCTAAACGGAATTTCTGGAATTATTATACTTAAATATTGCAGATCATTTCGGTGCAATATTAATCACAGATTGGTTATTGCGTATTCCATCTATCATAGATAGATAGATCATAGAATATCTTATGCGGGTGTTTATCTCGAGCTTTCGACTCTGTCAGGAATTTGCCTTACAAAGCGTCCTGCCATTTTCCACGAACATTGTGTTATATACTTTTAATTAATCAACAAGGAAAGTACAATAAAATATAATTTTTATCCAAATTATACACTTTTTGTGGTATTAAATGTCATATTGATGGAAAATTATATAATTGCGCCGGTTATACAACGTATATAACAGACAATATATAATAGATCTATCAATTAGAAAAGTAACATAGCGCGTAATCTAGACTTCAAAACCAATTTCAAAACTAGAATAAATGTGAGTTTTATAGTGACCTTCTTTTTGTCGAAGTTGCCATGTGCAATTGAATATGTCCAATTATTTTAAGGAGGTTGTAAGGTAGAATAAGTTTGTTAAAAAAGAAAAATTCGTTGAAATTCTCACTACATATAAATTAAAATGTTATCTAACTGCTCGTACAATTAAAAGGAAAAGATTGACTATTCGAGAGTTGAGATATTTGAAATTAAAGCTGACACTTTTCATACGTATTTCTTAGGAAATTATTGACATATCGGCGTATTATTTTTCATTTCCATCTTTAATTCCTTATAAACTGAAATTAAGATTTTAATGAAAAATAGTCTCTTAAAATGAAACATAATTTGCCTCAAATTAATATTTAACTACTTAGATATTAATGAAAAATAGAAGAGAAAAAGTGGGAGGATATGTTGAAGGGTTCGGTAGATTAATTTAGAGCAGTCCTTCGGATAAAGAATCTAATCTAAATGTCCAGGGTTTCCCGTCTACAATCATATCTTTTTTCATTTTGTTTATTTTCTTGCAAGTTAATTCAGCAAATCACGATGTCGTATCTTTATTCGTTGTGAGAAATGAGTATCGATCTATATAAAAATTAAACCTCTTAACAATTAAGACCATACAATTATCCAATACTTGAGTAATGAAATAAACATAGATAGATAACATAGAAATGTAATTTTATTCGATAAGTAGTAAGCTGGTAAGTGTTCCTCTTGCCATTGAAACTAAGCCTTACAACCTTCTCAATCAGAACGGATGTAATCAAATTTGTCTGATTACCTTAACCAGGATTATGAATCGTTTTTTTACAAAACAGTCAGGTTAATGTATCCAGGCTTCAAATTAATTCAACTACTCCTTTTTTCCGTGCAAGACAATCGTCTTGAGCATTCAGATGCGCCACATGCAGAATTTCACGCATTACTTATATATTTTCTTTCACCTATTATTTCGTTCTTTCGTATTTTCTCGTGGCTCTTGATTTTATTTCACCGTTGAGCCTTCGCGTGACCCCGTTCGCTCGCTCGCTCGCTCGCTCGCGCGATTCTTCGTCGGATGTCGAGTCGCGAGAAAACGATTTCTCGCGTCCCGCCTTGCCGAACGGGCCCGGATACGTACGTGCGCGTAATCATCATTAATGCACGCTAGGCGCGCGTGTATCTACTCGCGGCCATCTCATGCGGTCCAGCTGAATCAAGATAATCAAATACCCGACGCCAAAGTCGGGACTGCGCGCGGCCTAATTACTCTCCGTAACGTATTGCGCGTTAGATACACGCGCGCGTCGAGAAATCGCGATTGCCACGGTCAACGATAATGATATCTGACCTGCCAGAGAGCCCATTCCTGCGCACCTCGTAAATACAGCACGAGATGCTCAGCGCGTATGCACGCTCCTCCCTTGCGTTCTCTCGCTCCACTGAAACCGCAAAACCGGGAAACGATTCGGGTAACAAAGTAACCACACAGGATCTCGTGCCAGCGTGACTCGCGTCGCGCGAGTCAGACGGGAATTTCGATTTTCCATACACGACACGTGGCTGTCCTCTTTCCTCAAGTTTCTCACGCGATACTCCCACTCTTGCAGCGATTCTTTCCTCTCTTTCTCAGCTGGCATCTACCAATATATCATCGTGACGTGCACCGATCCACCTGCCGATTTCCGTGCTTCGTGCGAACGTGAGAGTGACTGCTTAACTGTAAAAAGCGACGAGAGGGCGGTGCAATAATTACGCGTGCATGCGAGATCGCGCGTGTGTGTGGATGTGTGTGGCCGAAGCGTCGGAGGGTATATGCGTTACTGCGAGGGACTCGCTCAGTGATCGCGATGTCACTTTATGACGATGACGTGCTTTTCAATGTTCCTCAATATAATTTATAGTTTTGTATGCGATCGCGACTCTCTAATTTGCACGACGACGTGAAGCGTTTTTTTTTCACGAATATCCGTATGCGACGTGTATTAATTATTTTAGTTAACCTCCGCATGACGACCAGAGTCATTTATGGTCAAGCCATTCCAAGAACTACTTGTTTCTCACAGTATTTTTCTTGCGAAATTAAATATTACAAGGAAGGTATTCCAGGTATCCGATTTTAATGAAACTTGGTGGGTTTGCAAAGAGGGTCAAAATATTCCATACATACTTTTTCTATCGACAATCAAACGTGTTTGAAAGGGTGAAATCAACCCTCGAATGTTGACAAAATTTTTATTTTTGGCTATAACTACGGAACAATTGTACCAGTGAATAGCTTTTTAAATTATGTACATTTTGTATATTTACGAAATTACGCTATTATGCTTCATTAAAAAGTTACAGCCAAAAAATTGTCGGGAGCTGATTTCACCCTTAAAACACGTTGGCCGATAAAAAATATGGAATATTTTACAAAATCCACCAAGTTTTATTAAAGTCAGAGAGGGACATTTGAAATATCTTCCTTTATTAGCAATTTATTTTTCACAAAAAAAATATATATAGCAAGAAGCTACATAGTCTTCAATTGGAAAGGGAATGGAAGTTTCAGTCATTTTTGGGGATTTTTTGGAGCAACACTGCAAAGCCAGATATATTATTTTGACTGAATCTCCTTTCGAATGTTCCTTGCTCTTTTAAACGCACGTTTGCACGTTTAAACGTACTAAATCACAATTTACGCGCCTGAAACGTCCTAAATGATTTAAAGCTGCAAGGAACGCGTAAAAAGGGCTTCAGCTAAATTAGACGCTTATGCATTTAAAACGTACTTGTAGTACAATAAAGATGAGAGAAATCGAGGAAGACACCAACGACTCTAATTGCCACTTTAAAAAATACACTGTCATTCAGAGGGCTAATTGCTCGATTCAATTTTCTGATTATCCAAGCGTCTCGGTGTCACACGTCCCGATCAATATCGCGTTCCTTCGAACGAGATCGACTAAGTGACGTCGCGGTCGCGAGCTTTAGTCCCTCTTCGCGGTATTAATTCTTCCAAACGGGCTGCGGGCGTGGGTCTTCGTACGAGTCGTATGAATCCCAACTTCCTCGCGTATCACACTGTGTATGGATCGTTGCGATCCGCGCGATTACCGATCGATCAAACCGATCCGGGAACTTAACGCGGTTCTCTCATGGAAAAGCTCGCGCTCTCCTTTAGAATATTCCACGCTTTTTCGTCAATCGCTGCGACTCGCTCTCGTTCGACGAGTTATCTTCGAGAAGAAAAAAAAAGATATATATACACACACAGAGATATACACACACACACACACACACACATACAGAGTGTCCTGGAGGAGCGATTCGAGCGATCCTCGAGTCAATCATATCACGCATTTGAACTGCGAATATCACATTTCCTCGGGACATCGTGTATGTATGAATTAGATTAGGTTAATTAACGAACGTACGTCCTTTTATTGAATAAAAGCCTCTTTTCAGACGTCACTTACTTAGGGAGGTAAAAAGCCGAGCTTTTTGGAAATTGTTACAGCACCACCAAGTGGTCTTAAAGTTTAAGAATTTTACGACTCCGAGGTTGCCGCGAGGCTCAATGGCTGTCGCAACGGCTTCCGGCGTGTCTTGATTGGACGATCGATGCGACGTCACAGATCCTGTAACGAAGTTACAGGACGACTCGCTGGCGACTACTGCAACGGAGATTCCTTTAAATACGTAAAACCAACGTTCATCAGCGAGAGATTGTTGCGCGAAACGCTCCGAGAAGGGCGTTAAAAACACACTGAAATTACTTAGGCCGACTTTGTTACTTCGATGTAGTGTTATTGAAAAAATATCCCGCGGATACGAGGAGAAGGGATGCGATACGTGTGTGAAGCATTATTAAACTAAAGAAAGGAAAGGAGGAAGGGAGGACTTTCGCGCCGTGCGTCGTCTTTAAGTCGTATGCATCGACTTCGATGATGCGTAAAGCGCACTGCACTATGCACTTTCGAGTAATATACAGAGTGAATGCCAAACCCGATTAAGGTACGCGTTGAATTATCAATTATACATATCTCAACTCGGACCTTTAGGAAGATTGGGCAGTTCGCAAAAGTACGCGTATCTTGATCAAGTTTGGCGATGAGAACGAACCAGATGAAGGAATTGAATCCTCAGAGAATACATCCGAACTTTAACTACTTGGATAAAAATCTGTTTCGTTATCGCAAAAAATATTTCACACTGAGAGAAATCATCCGATAAATAATTAACAAACGGATATTTTCGATCAAAATACCAATAAATTTTTGTATTCGATCCATCCAATAAGAAATATCGGTTCATAATTTTTTTATCGGTTTATCTGATGAAATGCCATTATGATCGGAAATATCCAATTAAATTTAACCGGATATCCTGATCAGGTATAAAAATTAATCGGAATTCGATCCGTTTGTTAATTTTTTATAGAATAATTTCTCTCGGTGCATAATTTGACGAATCATACGTTAACGAGAGAATTCGTTTGTTTTATCTCTTCTTTAATGCTTTGAGTTGCGTCATTTAACACGTGTTTGAACGTACTGAATCATAATTGACGCGTCGCAAATGTGCTAAATGGCGTGACTTAAAACAGCATGAAAACGCGTGAGAAGAGCCAAATTGCACGCTTATGTAATAATGTTTTCACGCGAGAATTCACCCTTCTAGTGAGTCGTTCATTTTACAATGACGTTCGCGCATTCGATGCATACGGACTTAAGATACTGCAGCTTCGTAATGTAAACGCCCGAATGAAACAACCTGTTTGTAACCGTCAATTATGTCGTATCCAACGATCCGTCTTCTTCGAGTCTCATGCTTCGAGATTGCGCGCGCCGCAACTACAAACGAATAATATTAAGATCTCATCGAGACGTTATATCGCGCCGATCAGTCTAGTCGTTAAGGCGATTGTGCGAAGTACGAAGACCCGCGGAATCGATCACGCTGACGACAGAGTTTCGAACAAACCCGCGACGCGAACGAATCGCCGAAACAGTAACAGCAGCAACAACAACAACAGCGGCGCTATTTGGTTGTTTATTAATCGTTGGAAATTAATTAACTCCTTGCGTCGAGACGCAATTAAACGTTTTACAAAATAATTAATCGACCCGCATTGTACATTTAATTGTTTGATAATGATGTTTTTACCGAATTAGTTGTAAAGTGGAATAAAACGAGAGCGACGAGGGAGGTGTTTGTGCAGACGACTTCCAGGCTGATTGAATGTCGCGACCTGCATCATTCGCCATTCAACGCGAAGAAACACGCTGTAGCGAGTCAAATGACAAAACAGACGTCAAAATTCCATTTCGTTTCGATCCTTGATCGAGATGATAATCTCACTCGACACGAAATAAAGCATACTTTTAATCGCACGCGAAGCAATTCACCCTGGTAGAAATTTCATGCAGTTTTTGAGCAATTAGTATAGACACTCATGTTAATTTTTATTTAGTAACTGAAGAGTAAAACTGCTTGGAAAAATGAAAATGGAACCATTTTTCCGCAACTTACTGCGTACAAAAGATGTGCAAAATCTAAATCCACCTACTGAACAAAATCAGAAAATAAACAAAAAGCTACTCAGCTGATTAACAATAATCAGTCTGCTCCTCATAAAATGGACAGGTTTGCCTTAGTAATTTTCCATTTTTTGTGCATGTTCTCAATTGAAAAATTTTAATGTTAATAGGAATCGTAACGCAAGAAATTTGTGGTATGTAATATATATTTTTCATCTTTTACGTAACATTTTTTGTCCTTTTATCTATTTTTGTTTTATTCAAACTTGTAGTTTTATACTACTTCATCAAATTCTGAGTCTGAACTATCGTGACAATCTTCATTTGTGTCATTATATATCACAGATTTGACGTGTTCTTAGTGCGATGAAATTCTCTACTATTAACATATATCTCATTTATCTTTTGCTCACTTTCATTTCCAATCTTAAGGTTACCATTTCCACAATCAATTTATATCATCAAATGTTTTATTTCCTTCAATTTTCTTTTTCTTACTTTATACTTTTCTACACGTGCACTCATCGTTTATGTAATTGATATAGCTCCTTTTTTACATAATATAAATAAATATATTTTAAATTTATTCTTGGCAGACATATTATAACTGTAATATGTGCAAATCATAAAACTAAACTGATATTATTGATGTCTTGGGACAAATCTGATCACATACTATATAGTAAACTATTTCAACTACTGAATAAACCCCTATCAAGTTCTTGTCCAGTTCCTACGCAGTATCTTTATCCTAGCCAATAAGAAGGAATTAATATTAAACAACAACTGAGTGGATTTTTAAACAAATTGCATATATTTCTACTAGGGTCATATTATGCGTTTGCACTGTTATCGATTATGTTCTACACAGCGTTGTGTTGCGTAGAACACAAACGTTGCACCGTATGCACGATTTAATATTTACTTAAGTATAAATTTTCTGCCAACTCTTCCGACACTCTCTCACGCAGCGTACACGCGATGAATATCGACAGGCGCAAGGAGTTAAGCTTAAATTAATCTCCGTCGCTCGAAGCCGAGGACAAAGATGGTGGTTCCAACTGAACATATCAAGGCCTCGTAGGAAAGGCCAGCCAATATCCGGATTTCTACTCTGGTTTCGCGTAGATTCAGTTTTTTCGATGCTTTTTCTCGCGACAGGAGACACATGCGAGAGCTCGCGAAGCGGCTCGATCGCGCGGTATCGCGCGGCTTCCAAGGGGATTATCTTGGAAATTATGTATGATCTGATATATAAATACGCAGGAGAACCCTGTCCACTGGAACCACTGTCGTTTATTTATTCAACAGCCAATCATTTCCCATGTTAGTCACGCTCGAAACGATAGCTGTATTTTCGGCTATCTCTCAAAAGCAGTGTCGGGCACTAGTCGATTAGAAAACTTTTTGTTGACTAAAATATTCGACAGATTGATCATCAAAGTTAATTAGTTGATATACATGTAGTCAATAATAATTGAATCAATTGTCGAAATTAATTATTAATCAATATATAATCAATGAAGTCGAAGTTTGATTAATAACACTGTCCGACGGCATTTTGAAACACGAGTGCCAATAATCATTTTCAATATATTTTTCATCACTTAATCCTTAGGCTAAGAGGTGAATAGTTTTTGTACAATATCTTTTGATTGATTCCGATTATTAATTTGACAATTGTTTTAGTCAACTACAATTTTAACTGATTAATACCTAACATTGTTCGAAAATACTTCTTATGTTTAAAAATGAGATTTGATTTACTAAAATGAGCTATTTATTTAGACAATACTCGGTATAAATAAAATTCGAAGATCGTTATTAGCGCATGTAGATCCAAGTGTTATTTTTAAATGCATAAGCGTGTGGCTAAAGCTGTTTATATTTCTTGCGATTTTATATCACGTCATTCAACCCTTACCAACGGAACATATATTTTCCCTATCATTAATAATAACTTTATTTAATTAAAGAAACAGCTTTTCTGGCATTCAGAACACATTAGCTATCATTCTACTTATTACCACGTTGAGATGAAAAAAATGCTCTTCTAAAAATCCCATGAGTTGAGATATCAACGTCCCGACCCTATCCCTTTGGTGCTAAACGTAAATTTTTTAATTTTTTTACTTAAATTACATTATATATTAATGTACTTACTGAAGTGACAGTAAGAAAATTATATCTTTAAAAAATAAAATTAGTAGCGAAAGAATTAACACGTTTAACACGTGAAAATGATTATTTAATACATTTAAACGTGTAAAATGACGTGATTTAAAATGGTAAGAAACGTACAAAAAAACATTCAGTCGAAATAACATGCTTGGATTTGCAGTGTAATTGAATATGAAGTTGAACATTATAAAATAATTTTCTAAGTAACTAAGTGAATATCCTAAATAACAGTAAACACAAATAACAGTAATTACAAATTACACTGAATGAAACAACAAATTCGCAAGACTTTATGAGACTTTTGAGTGATATTCTGCTGAGTAATTCTTTTGCGGTCGCGCGCTAAGAAGTCGCTAGTCGTCAATACATAATGGGGTCAAAAACAATCGATACCGGAGAGCACCTTCGGGGGCCCTCTCGTATTCCACTCGTGATCCAACGAGTAAATTTCAACTTACCGGCGAAGCTTTCCTTTATTTACTGATAATTAAAACGAGAGCTGGCTCGAGTGTTTATTTCGCTGAATCTTGGAAATCCGATTAAGGATCCGTTGTTGATCAATTAAGAATAAGTATCGTGTAATTCGAGTTTAATCTCTATCTTCGAAAATCTGTTGTTGTGTGCCGACAGTACAGCCGAGAGGAAGCTCTCGAAAGCTTAACCAGGTCAGGTTAACAGCTTTCAGTAACGGGAGAAAGCTTCTGTATCGACTGTGAACGAGTTCCGAGAAACGCAACGTAATTTCAAGAAACGCAATCTAACTCTGGATTTGACAGTGAAATTCCATTATGACAAAAGTTTATGTCCTATAATTAATATACATCCGACGCAATTTCGATAGTTACTCCGATAGTCGTTCGGATTTCACATGTTACCCGCTACGAGATGGCAAACTCGTAGCAGTGTTGCTTCGTCGATAAGTTCAACCCTTTATGATGTGATTCGTAATGCACATGTTCGTTCACATTCGCGATTGTAGAGGGTGCCATATCGTTATACGTTAAATTCGTTGATTACGTCCGAATCGAGTCACTTCACATGCATTTTTTTATTTTTGTGATATCTATAGCAGTTTTGACAACCAAACGAATTATTATTAAATAATAATTTGCTGTAGTGAGGGGGCGCCAATACATCAATTTAATTATTTTCACGTTTTTAACGTGTTAATTCTTTCACTTATTTTTTAAAGATATAATTTTCTTACTGTCACTTCAGTAAGTACATTAATATATAATGTAATTTAAGCAAAAAAATTAAAAAATTTACGTTTAGCATCAAAGGAATAGGATCACCAACTTCACGTAGCTGATACGAAATCAAACAATGCTTTATCTAATGCTTTATCAATGTAGTATTTTGTAACCCAGTATTTTGTAAACACAGAAAAGGGAACATTAACAGCCACTTAGTTCAAGCTTTCTTTTCATTATTTCGTTATGTGCTGCGCAACATGTAAGATAAAACGTAGCCGCATTATTAGGGTGAGAATGCAATGTCGCCCGACCCCACTTTCAAAGACCGAAAGCGGCCCAACATTGCTGGAGAGATCAGACCTTTGGAAATCAATTTTTTAAAATTCGAAAAGTATTTTCAAGATTTTCTAAGAAAGTTACTCAAGGAATAGTTCACCCAAAGTATACTCCAGACAATAATACTCAACGAGATACTGGGCCAGTGTTATTAACAAGGTTGTTTACTCACATATACGCAAGTATAGGTTTCAAATGGCATACTCGAGAAAACGGACCTGTTAACACCTCTGCGCTGGACCCAATCTTCGGTGATTTTTGGAAATTGGAAAATTTCTTTAAAAGTTTCTCAAAGCTTCCTGAAGAAATAAGATAATATAAAATGTGCTCCAGGTAATAGTACTGGATAAGGTAAGCATGCTCGATCCCACTTTCGGAAATCGATTTTTGAAAATTCAAAAATTATTTTCACTGTTTTGGGGAAGTTACTGAGGGAACAGAAAGTTCCCAGAAAGTTTCATCCAAAGTATGCTCCAGGCGATAGTACACTCGGGAAAGGTGAAGTCTGGAATGCAGCTTCCGGGATCGGGGTAAACGCTTCCCCTTCTACTCGCCATTTCTTTCAGGCGTAATCATTCGGTTGGCTGACAATGAAAGGAGAATTCGAACTATATTGATGTTTTTTTTTTCTTCCATGTTGACAAAGCGTGAACTTAAGTAAGTCGCCTAAGCCGCGACACTCGCGCCGCGAAATCAAACAATTTGTCTTTTGATCTCGCACTTTGTAAACACAGGAGAGGAAACATCAATATTGTTCGAGCTTTCCTTTGACGCCCAACCGAATGGTCACGACTGAATGGGAATGACGCGTGGAAGGGGAAGCGTTTCTGCCGGTCCCGCAAGTTGCATTTGAAGTTCAGACTTCAAGTTCCCCGCGTGTACTTTTGTTCAAAAGAACTTTGCTACTGTATGTGTGTGTACGCGCGCGCGCGCGTACTGAGACCAAATTAAAATCTCTACTGATTATTATTATTATTCATATTAGCATTGTTATGCTATACACATGCAATTACTACACGGTAAAAAACATTTTGTATTTGTATTGAAATCGATCGAAAGTTTTTTGTTAAATATTTAACATGTCCGTATATATTAATTCTATATAATGTGTTATTTCCACTATTCTGCATTGATTCATATTCATTATTTTGGAATATTGAGATAACACAATTTATACGTGAATATACAAACAGAAATTCTTGATGACATATTTTATACGTAGAGTTTACAAGTTTAATAAAAATAAATAAGTAAAAACATGTTTACATGTCTGTGTTCAAAAGTAAATAGATAAATTTTTATAAGTCAAAACTCACTCTTGTTAATAAATATACAAAAAGCAACTTAGCAACAGTTGCCTCAAATAACATTACGCGTCCTTCGCCAAAAAAATAAATCGAATGAAACGATTTTCCTGCAAATTTCATGTAACAAATACTAAAGCACTCTGTACAAATGAATGCGCGATCATCCGAGCCCATATCGTGCAATTCTCTTCTTACGTAAATTTTACGTATTTGTCGACGTGGATACGCGTCGTGCTCGTACCGCTGACGCTAAATTCCGCATTCGAGGCTCGAGATGAACGTGTGATGCGCTTCCACCCTCGCTCTCTACCCACCCCTTTCGCCGTCTTGCGTTTCTTTTCCGGCGTCCTTCTGATTGAAAAATTGCAGGCTGTCTAATCCAGAGCTGTCTGTGTTTGGACGCCGCACGGGACTGTCGATGAAAGAGAGTAGGGCTTAATCAGTTAGTCGATAGGCAAATTGGCTTAGAGAGACGTGGCCATGCGCCGGGGTGGTTTATTACCACATGCCACGAGTGCAGACGACAAAGAAGTCGGACGTGCACGGCTAGCGGACGTGTGGCGAACGCGCGGCTCGCCAACCGACCGTGCGATCAGATTTGACGACGTAGCGCGTTATTCCTGGGGTTTCGCGAAGGTCTCCGGGCGCCGTGTTCGTGAAAGGACCAGCCCTCGCACGCCGAGGGATACGAACCGAAACGCGGTCGACGCGAGACTCTTAACGCGCCTCAGGTCGAACCTGACGAAGGAAATCTGAGGAAAAAGAAGAAGAAGAAGCGGTAATCGAGAGACAGATCTGCCGCGGTCGCGTTTAAAGTTCTTTTCCGGCTACTTGACGTGCAGCTCAGTCAGTTATCGATGATTCTCCTCGAGACGATTTATGGCAAAGGATTTCTGTGTGCCGTCACCGGGCACGAGAGAGAAAATCGCGAGCGAAACTTCGAGCAAGAGTGTGTTACTTATAGTTGGGTCCCAAGTCGCGTGCGATTGCCAAAAGCGGTTTCACACAGTCGCAAATGTGCCCGAAACTTCAGTATCTCGCTTAAGTGTATTAAACTCATTAAACAAAGTGTCTTATACAGAGTAATTCTAAATAAATGTGAGAGACCTTAGAAGGTAATTCTTTGTCGACAATTAAAAGGGAACTTTCATATACATTCCTATTTCCCTGAGGAGTTACACTCTTCCAAAAGAGGAGGTGAAAATTTGATTTTTATTTTCTTTCGAATATTGGAAAAGTTAAAAAATTAAATTTTAATGCAAAACAAGTTGTCAATCTGACAACCGCCTACTAGACATTCTTAAGTTCATTAAAAATGCAATTTGATAGATTACCGTGTTGTATATGATAATGTATTTTATTTTTTATTTGGAAACTATTAATTTTACGGAAAAAATAAAGGAAATAAAAAAGTTTTTGAAGGAATAAAGCTTTCTAACGCATATTTTTAAATGATTATATTCCAGCTCGTTAAAACTTTCTAATAAGAAATTGAATAGGGGTTGCTAGTTTCATCCCCTTATAACGATACGAAAGAATTAAAAAAGACTATTAATAAATAGCCTGTTTAGTCAGAAAAAGATCCACCAAATTTCATTTTTAGTTTTCCCAACATTTTTTTTAGTTTCAGGAAAACAAATAAAAACTTAATTCATTAAAATCATTTTCTTTTTTAGAAGAATGTAACTCTTCAGGGAAGGATATATAAATATATTCATATGAAAAACTGTTCTTAATTTTTAACAAAGAATTATTATCTCCTAAAGTTTATTTAAAACCATCCTGTATATAGACATAAGTAATACAAGTTTTCATTTCTCAAATTTACGAATAAAAAATCAATATTGTAATTTTTCCTTCCAGTTTCTTCAAATATTTTTTATGCAATTTTTTTACATTGTGAGTCAAATTCTCTTTATTTTTATTGCACAATATCTTATTTAGTGAAAATGGATTTCAATAATATAAAAAGACGTATACACATTTAAAAGTTAATCGAGGCGATCTCGTCTGCTTAACATTACGGGGTATCTTGTTTTACAATTGTAAAAATTAATGACAGCCCTCTGTCAAAAGATACTTTTTGATGATTCAAAATAATATCTTAACGAACAGCTTAAACTTCCACTACACTGGGAGAAAAATGTTTGGTATTTGTAACCATAATCATATCGAAAAATAATTATCATAAATTATATTCAAGTCATTTTTTAGTACTATACTCAATTTAGTACTATAATTGTCAATGATAACATCATATGGATGTGATTACTACTATCTTCGTGTTGAAACAATCAAAAAATATGGTTGAGGTCAAATTATATTTAAACTATATTTTTGGTTGTTCCAAGATGAAGTAGTAGTAATGTATATAAGATTATCACTTATTTAACTAAAATTATAGTACAATTGACTAAAAAATTGTTATCTTGACCATAATCTATAGTAATCATTTCTCTATATGATTATAGTTACATTTTTCTCTTAATGTATGTGACTAAGCTATAAGTCGGTGGACTTTCTCATAGTTAAGTTCGACTTAAGACCCGACTGCTCTATGAATACTGCCGATTATAAAATTTTACTGGAACAAGAACAGAGCGAAATTATTTATTTCAAGATTATTAAATGGTAGACTTTTGCGTGAGATGTGCGAGGAGACTTATCGATATCGAATTTGTGAAATTCCGATTTACTTGAGAACGGCTTTCGATGATTCGAAGGGACCACGTCTGGGATCGATGATTGACATCGACGACGTGGCTCATCAAGATTCGCGACTAATGACGCCTCGATCCGCGTCGGTGGCTTCGTTCGTGAGACGTCACGTTTAAATGTAATTCAGATGCTCATTGATCCACGAGGGACTGAGAGCGATCGAGATCCGGCACGAGGGATTTTCGTTCGAGCGGCTGATAGCTTCCGTTCGATCCTCGTCGCGAGCATTCGCCGGATTTCCGAACGATAGAATGTGCAGCTGATCGGTGAGTGGAAAATTGGATCGAAAAAGCGCGCCACGTGGATGAGACCGTGAGGATTTAATAACACGATAAGCGCAACTAGCAGCAAAATCTTGCAGTCGGTACATGTTCTTAGACTGCGACGACTTCGTAGAATCGACCGATCGATCAGTAGAGGAGAAAATCCAATGGGCTACTACTTCTTTTTTCCTTTATATCTTAGGATGTTTAAATCTATTTTGGTCGAATATATGTGCAATATATTTACTTCAATGCCTATACTGAGAGAAGAAATGTCTAAAAAATGAAAAATATTTATTTGATGACTATTAATAATACATTTACTTAAATCTAAATAAAATAAACAATTACCTTCTTCATAAATAACGATTTTAGAGAAAATAGTATTTTCTCATTCGAAAAAAATTTGTCGTTAATGTAAAAATATATACATTAGTACAATATGTTATTAGTACTAATCAAATAAATATTTCTCATTTTTAGATATTTTTCTTTCGGTATGTAAGGGAAACGTTTATAAAATAATTGAATTTTTAATTACCTAAATTTTTCAGAAAAGAGAGAAACTTACATTGTTTAAGAGGACCACATATGAGCTAACTTCATAATTTCAAAATACATTATATTTGATGTAGTTGTATATTATACACATGAAACAAGTTACATGGGAATTTGATGAAATTTGCATTATATATCTATATATGTATATACACAATGAAATATTATCTAATTACTCGTGCAATTACAGAAAGGTTGAAGTTTATTTCATCTTTCATAATATTCATTGACAAAAATCGCATACACAATCATCTTTTTTCAGCCCCTGCATAATTCTGTTCGATATGCTCATAATCAATTACGTTAATGATATCTACGTTTCTAAATAATAAAACAGTAAAATGTACATACCTGAGTAACTTTTCAGACTTGTTGGAAAACAGAAAATCTTATATAACTTCTGAACCAGCTCAAAAATCGTGCAGTTGAATTCTGTTACATGCTACGCTTTGGAAGAATTATTCAAATGCTTGTCAGTTGAGTGCAAAATTATATAGAGCCAAAACACTGGTAGCTTGTATTTGGCCCACATTTGGATATTTTCCTCTACGGGAATCACGAAAACAATGTCCCTGCGATAACGAGAGCGCCTAAATCGCGTCTGCCATCGTAGCAAAAATTCGCCGTGACACAACAGCCTCACGCTATTGTTACACATTTCACCCACGTGTGCATTTTAATTATGCGCGCGGACCCGCGAATTTACGACGAGCGATACGCCGTAGCATAAATCGCGAGCACGCGTCAGCGGTAATGAATTGGCCGTTTATTGTTCGTCAAAACGCGACGCGTTATTGACAGGAACAATGCAAGCGAACGATAATTCGGAATTATCGACGACCGGTTGGGAGAGACGCGAGTCGAGTTAATTATGCAGTTACGTTGCAATATTAATAGACCTATACGCGTCGGAGTGTGTAACGTGAGGCTGAAGGAGGCGAGTCGTATCCGCTCTGGGAAAAGGGGCTGGCGGTGGTGGTGTGCGCCTTTGATGTCCGCGAGCCGGGGAGTTCAAAACGATCTCATCGATCCCTCCGCGCCGTTGAATACTTTATGGCGTTCTCAGCATACTTCGCCGCATGCCCATCTTCGTCGCTCTTTCTTCGCGCCGAGTTGCAGCCGACGTTGCGCCTCTCGCCTATGCAAATCCTGCCCGTATCGTTCTTCACACTCGTTGCTCACTCTTCAGGTATGACGGGCCAATCGCTGGTGATCATATGCTGCTACTTATACATCCTGCTTGACACGGCCGCACCGCACTTCTCGTGAGTATACGCAAATCTGCGCCCTTTACTCGCCAAACGAGGAGGATCGCGAGATCTCTTTGGCGTACCGAAATTCAGTCACGACGACAATTCAACTGATGAAGAACAACGGAAGCGCGAAAAGATATTCAAATTTCGATTCTTTTTTCTCATTTCTTAAACTTCCAACGAGCAAGTGGAAATTTGAAATGTAAAAGGGTGTGGGGGTGTACAAAAAATTGCACTCCAGAAATTAAATACAAATTAAATAAAAATTAAGGTTTTTGGTTTGTTGTTTAATATTATTCATTACTGCGCGTATCTTAAAATATATAAAAATATCGTGGGATGTAAAAGATATCCCAGTCGACTTTAACGGCTGTGCTGCGGATAAATAATATTGAATAAAATTCACGAGCGTAAACAGAACCGTAATAGATTAGGCAAAGACGTTCCGGGGAAGTAATGTGACAAACAGTTCCCCTGGCGCCCCTACTAAGCCCCAGGAAGGCACCCCGATGGAGTTTAGCTGATAAGAGTCCAGCATAACCGTCCCTTCCCAAGGGAATAGGGATATTCATGAGGATTTCCACACCGTTATAAAAAAAATAGATTAAGCATAGGCTTAAAGAAAAAGATAGCAGACTTAAGAAGAAAACAGTATTGAAGAATACTAAAAAAAAAAATTAAATTTCTATGTATAAAATCTAGAAAAAAAGAAACCTGGAGTGTAAAATTCCACACACTCGTTGAAGAGTTAAGCAATAGTCTACTTTAACTCTTCAGTAGGCGCGTATGTTTTTATTTTAGATTGGTGTAACGCTAAATATATATTCTTCTAAGATATATATTTTCTCTAAAATACATATAATATCAACAATAAATTACAGAAAATTATGCATATTTGATTAACGATATACAGTCTTCAAATTATATTTGTAAGAACGCGTCTAACGCAGGTTCAATGAAGGAAATGGTTCCGAGGAAGGAAATAATTTCGAGGAAATTTTCTTCCGAGAATTGTTATAATTTTCTTTATTAATTGTATGAAGAAAATTTAGTTAAACATAAATGTTAAATGTAGATAATTAAATGAGAGTTAAATATATATATATATATATATATATATATATATATATATATATATATTAAGCAGATTTTTCACTTTTTTCCTCAAATTGTCTGACGAAATATACCTGAACGTAGATTTTTCATTTTCATTTCAACGTGGCTTTTTCGACGTGAACATTCTAGTTTCACAGCATGATGTTTATTGCATCGTAATTTGCATCAGACTCCGCGTTGCGTTGATATAATATACGTTTCGCGCATGAACACGTTGATGTCGATTTCGTGTCGCGCGTTCACACATATATACACACGTATACATTTCTGCAGTCGTGTCTCGCGCAACGCGGTTATTCCTTAATCAATAGCCACAATCAGACACTAATTGAGCAAAGAAAGTCCCGCAGTTAGCGATCGTGACGTCTACGACGACTGGCCCGCTTGGGGAAAATTGCGTCCACTCTGTGATAATAAAACTGCCAGCAACTCCCATTCGGTTCTTGCGACTGTGAATAATATATAAGCGTCGTTGATGCACTGCAATAAAAATTGGGTGACGATACCGTTCGTTGGAAGCTGTCGTTTAATTTTTAAAGGGCCATCGCTGTAAATTGATCGCGTTCCAACTTTAAAAGCGGCGACGCGCCACCTTTTTGTCACGACGAGTGATTAACAGTTCATCGTGTCAATTCATCGTTCATTTTTCATGATGATTCTACAATAGAGAGGTAAAATATTCGGCGATGCTATTTAATTTATTTCTCCGCATTGCCGATGTTAATTATCGATCAGTAATTCTTTCACGACGGTGATAAAAAATTTCGTTAACATTCAAATTTTTGTATTTGTCATGTTACACGCAATGCATGATATATTTCCAGGAAAAAGCTAGAGACCAATAGCACCTAAGGCGAGAAAATTCTTGAGTCTCGTTACAGATTATCGGCTTGGCGGGTTTCATAGTGATATAAGGCGATTTTACAGCAACTTCACTCAAGTCTACAACATCCTAATCCAACAATCGTCGATATTGACATATATATTACATTTTCTACTATGTTATGCTATCTACAATAACATGTAATTTAATCGGCAAAGGTTTTGCTACCAATGACATAACTATTTGATTCCTTAACATAAAGATTTCTCTTAAAAAAATATATACAGAGTATTTGACACGCTAAGTGCTTTATTTCTTATGTATTATTGCGCGCAATCATTCGCTAATTTTCTTTAATTAATAACTCAAAAATTTACATTATTTGCAAAATGACATGTAAAACTTTTTTGTTCTAATTGATGCAATCTACAAGTACACGATTGCAAGCATCGCCATCATAGCTCATCTGTCATATCGCGAATAATCTTTTTTAATTGATAACTCAAAATTTCTTGTAGTTGTTTGCAAAATGTCAGAAAAATTTTATATTCAAAATATATATATATATATATATATATATATATATATATATATATATATATATACATATATATATGTAGATTAAATCAAACTGAATATAAAATTTTTCTGCCATTTTATATATATATATATATATATATATATATATATATATATATATATATATATAAGATATAAAACATTTAACGTCAAACATTTTAGACAATATTTTTGAACATGTAGAATTTTCAATTTTATTCATTGATAGACATTCTAGTCATTTGTAATCCAATCGTTCATATAAATATTTGCCGCAGAAATTTGTCGGATATTCCATCATAGGCAATTTGTCATAGTCGAGAATAATCTTTAACAAAAGACGTGGAGAATATATGAACGATGTGTCCATTAGCAAGTTATCTCCCGCGGTCTTTGATATTTCAGAAAGCTAGACTTTGATGAATACAGGAAGAAGGAGGCCTCGTTGTCGTTGAAGGACATTCTACCTTTGAATCCGAAGCAGTATGACAAGCACAGAGCACCGAAATTCCTCGGGCAGCCCACCATCGTTTATTTTCACGTGACAGTGCTCAGCCTAGACTCAATAAATGAGGAATCGATGGTAAGCGAGACCGACATAAGCACCACGCCAGAAAATTCGTTTGGCCATTTATTACATTCTTCCCAAATAAGATCACTTTCTTTATTTCTATAAAGTGCACTTATTTCTACATTAAAATTACATACATCAAGAAAACATGCTTGATAAGATATAGCAATTTAAAGACTTCTTTATCTAAATATATAAAACATGTATAAAATTTGTTTTACTTCTTGTACTCTCTCATGATTAAGATCAGTCAAAAACTATTTTCTTCTTATTTTGTTTTTTATATATACATATAGTTGTAAAATTACATATATGAGGCTTTTTCATTATTTTCTTTAATCAAAATTTACGAAAAAGGCAACTTTGCTTAAGAAATCAACTTTTGTTATTTCTCTTTAAAAAACAGATTTAGATTTTTATATTTAAGAGAAGTGCGCGTTAATTAATAACAATTAATAGGAAGAAATATTGTTAACCATTCTCGTGTTTGTCTAGTTTGAAATTCGAAAATATCATTTTTAAATACATTAAAATAACTTGAAAAATTATTGAAATATACAATATAAAAAGAGAATAACAAAATCTTATTTAAGTAAAAAGTTTACGTAAATAAAATTTAAGTAAATAAAATTGATCACTCGTGCCTCTCGATTTACTTCGGCTGCTATTCAGACAATAATTAACAAATTTTGTTACTACTGAGTCTCAAATATCCTTACTGTGCTAACTTATTCTTTAGAATACATATGAAGTCTTAAAAATTCCGATTGAGCAGAAATGCGAAGTTATTAAAAGTGCCCGGAGACACGAATGGTCCCCTACTTATTTTAAGAGTTAACATTAATATTAAGATTAATATTGCAGTTAAGATTAATATTGCATATAAATTATACATGATTCATATATTTATTTATTATATATAAATTATATACATATACTACATATTTATATAATAATTATATTATTGTGTGTGTATATATGAATAAACATTCTCGTTCACGCATTAATGGTTAACATAACACGAGCTCGCGTAATGAGTGTTAATATGAGAACACATTTACGCTCCCGTAAGTTGACCGTAAAATTATCTGCCGGTTCAAAGTTCATGACGGACACGTAGTTTGCACGGGAGCAAGCACTAAATTAGAAGGTCTTTTATACGGGGGAGAATAATTATGTCCTCTGCATACGGTCGCGCATGAGACACAGCATCTGTTCACGTTGTTTTTCCACGGCGACAGACGTACGTGGCGGACATATTTCTCGCGCAAAGCTGGCGGGACTCTCGGCTGAGGCTGCCGGAGAACATGTCCGAGGATTACAGGATACTCGACGTGGATTGGCTGCACAATATCTGGAGGCCCGACTGCTTCTTCAAGAACGCTAAGAAGGTCACCTTCCACGAGATGTCGATACCGAACCATTACCTCTGGCTTTATCACGACAAGACGCTGCTCTACATGTCCAAGTAAGATTTAATGCACATTTCCAGTATTTGCTTCTGCCATTCGCATATTATTGCATTTAGTGGTAAACGTATGGATCTCGTTTAACACGAGAGAAGTGTATATCGAGTGTCGACAAGCGATATTATTAAAGATAAAAATTAGAGGAGAGTGTTTAATTCATAAAGAATCATCTTCTTTTCCTCTCTAATCGGAGCAGAATAAATTTATAATGCGATAGAATACTTTATTGGCGAGTTGGTGGCGTTTATACACAAAGTTGGAATCAAATAACCGCGTTTAGCGCTAAATGCGCGGTGGAGAAGCGAGTTTCCCGCAACTGCGAAAATTATATTTGTCGGTGTGAAAGTACTAGTTAAAAACCTTTCATCTCCCCGTCTCGTAACTTTCACGGCTTCGGAAAGTTACTTTTACCGCCTCATTAAACGTCAAGAGCTAAATGCGAAAAGGAAACCAACGAAATCCCTCCCATAAATATCTTTCAACGTGCAACTCTTGCGCGCGAGTTATTTAGATAACAAGCGACGGACAAAACACTCGTAATTAAGAAGAAATACTCGCACCAGGCGCTCGAGAAGTATCCTTTTTTTTCCGTTAAACGGGACGTTACTATTGAGCGCTGCGGGTCGGTAAATGTCGAGCAGGAACAAAGGAAGACCAATAATGTCGATGAGAGATATTTTCCGCAGGAAGCAGGTAAGCGCCACTGATATATCGCGACTATGAGCTCACGTCTTTTCTCGAGAAGGAGCGTCCATAGTGCCTCGAGAAATATTAGCGTACTCTTTCCTCATGTCCCTATCATAAAAGCACTTCGCTCTGCGCGAACGAAACTATCGCAATGAGGGCGCGCGCGATGCTACGCAGACATTGGTGCCCTCAGAAAAACAAGAAGCTGCAGGACTTACTGTGAACTTTAAGAGCCTTCTCGTAAGTGAAGTATTAAGTATATAAATGCACTCTACTGCTTACACGATAAGTGCAGTCGTGCTGTGTTTCCTTCTTAGTTTCTTTTCACTGTAATTCCTATTAATGCAAAAATAATTTTTATACACATTTATCTACATGGAAGACTACTGTTCATTAATCACGATGATTATTATGCATTTCGCGTCTATGTGCCTATGTGTCGCTTTTCGATCGTATCCCTGTGTCGACATCGTTTATTTTTGCCTGTGGACGATTTAATCCAATGGCGGACTTGGATGGACAAGTTGCTGCCATGTGGTCGGCAATTTTGTTAAATTTTATTGCCAATCGAGCGATACGGATTTAGTTTTTCTCGTTACGAATAGCCGAGCTGTCGAGGGAGAAAATAAAAAAAAGCGACGGGAGGCTTCACCATTTGTTTGCCAATTGTGGGGATAACGACTATCGGGTAATTTACTCGTGCTGCAGATTGAAGTGTAATTTGATTAATGGGACCATTGCGTTACGTTACATTAGCGGAAGTGTACACCGGAACGCAACGTTTGTTTCAGATTGACACTGGTGCTTTCCTGCGCGATGAAGTTCGAATCCTACCCTCATGACACTCAGATCTGCTCGATGATGATCGAGAGCCGTGAGTACATAACAAATAACAGCTGTTGTCGCGACAAGCAAGCCACGATATTGTTTACGGTCGATGACGTTCACACGAAAGATACACACGACGCATTGATGAGCTTTGTTTACTCGTAATGATTACTAATTATAGCGCTGCTGTAACTAGCAATAAATAATGATTTTAATTACTCACAAAATTATATATTCATTGAGAAGAAGATATTACAAAAGTAAGAATTAGTCCAATTACTTTTACATCTCTGTAATTTGTAAAGAAGTTTAGATCTGATTTTTGTAGTGACGTAACAATCAAGGTAGATCTACACGTTCATGTGAAACAAAGAAAACATCGTTAGGGAGAGAAGGGGGAGAGAGTAGAGTAGGGTAAAGTAGATTAGAGTTTATTAAATACATCCTAGGGTTGGCACTTTCTAGAGTTACAGTATTTCGTAATAAATGTTTATGATACCTATATCTGCATTACAAAAAGAAAAAAATTGTACAAGTCAGATTTATATATAGGGTTTCTCATATTCATATATATATATATATATATATATATATATATATATATATATATATATATATATATATCTCAGCTACATACAGCTCATTACGACAGGTTGCCTGCCCTTAGGAGTCCCAGCGCGCGTCGGGCCGGTAATACAGGGTGTCAGTATAACACGTATCTTTGCAAAGGAGGGTAGCACTAGTCGTTACACTGTTCGGCTTCGCATAATAAGCCGAGAAAACATATTTATAAAATATTTTAATGTTTAAAAATTTGAATACTTTAAATGTGTATTTAAATGTTTAAATATTTTAATGTTTAAATGTGTGTGTTGAAAGATTATTCATACGATGTTAGAATTCTTAAAGCCCTTCAATTAAAGAGGCTTTAATCACCATGAAACATGACAGTATTGTAAAACAATATCGATAACTCACTCGCTTGCTCATCTTTCGTGATATTTATTTATTTATTTGTATTGATTCGTTTCGTTCGATTTACTTTTTCATGGAAATTTCTTTTTACTGTATATGTACGTTGCACTCTCTTTAATTCGCACTTCTTTCGTATTCTGCGCGTATTACATATTCCAGTTTCGCACACGACTCAGGACCTGATATTCCTGTGGAATACGACGGACCCCTTGGTGGTTAATCCGGAGATCGAGCTGCCGCAGCTCGACATATCGAACAACTACACCACCGACTGTACGATCGAATACTCGACAGGAAACTTCACGTGCATACAGATTGTCTTCAATCTGCGCCGGAGACTGGGCTATCACCTGTTCCACACGTACATCCCGTCCGCCCTGATCGTCGTCATGTCCTGGATCGCCTTCTGGATCAAGCCGGAAGCCATCCCGGCGCGGGTCACTCTCGGCGTGACGTCACTGCTGACCCTCGGTAAAGCGCGACCCCTCCGTCTACACCCATTGCCACATCGCGGTGACTATTCATGATATTTGCGATTAGGATGAGGCTTTGTTGCAGCTGTACACGCGACGTCGCCAAGCTGTAATTTACCACTATTATTGGCCTTTTTGCCGATACTGGTATTAAGCCGAAACCAAATGAAATAACTCGTAATCGAAGTCGTGTGCGCGGTATATAATACAGAAGTAAAATGAAATTCGACCTAATATATGATATATTAAATAGAATTCGATATAATATTATTAATGATCCATAATATTATTAATGATTCTGTTCGCGATAATCATGAAAAATGTGCGATACGCAAATGATAAAATAGCGTCGAAACTGCGCTCAGACCGATAATAATTTTCGAAAGTCGTTTAATTATATTTGATTCCTATGGTCTCGTTTGTATCATTGCGCCGAATGAACTTCACGTTGACGTGTGCAATTATGAAAAGACGAGACTTTTTTTCATGTATAACTTTTCATCGAAATCACCACATTATATGTACGATTTCAAACTTGCACGAATATCGCGATTATAACGAGATTTCTCGTGCAATGCTATTATTATCTCCATATACATTTATCCTATTTAATAATTTGATATCAAATTTCATGTACCGCTGTTAATATCGTATCATAAATTATAATTAACGTTGATACATTAGTTTCCAATTTTAGTTGTTTAATTTTAGTTGATGTATTAGTGTCCAAGTTTAGTTGTCAAATGTACTACTTCCAGCAAATTAAATTTTCCTATATAATATCGTGATTTAAATTCTTAATAATCACCGATGAAAATTAATATTAATTTAATATTGACACGCGAAAATCTTCTTTTTGCTGTCTACGAGATCTACATTTTTTTCAAATTATATATTATATTTTAAGAGCAATACTGTAAAGAATCGAAATATATAACGAAAAATCACCTTTATTTTACACTTTGATACTTCACTGAGGTCGAAAACAATCCTATGGTAACTTTATATTTTTATTACATAATAAGTAATTGAAAACTATATTTAAATTTCATATTTCCATCAACTATAACTTGTTTTAACGCGTGAGCCGATTTTCCACTAATTTATTTCACTAATTTACGGGTAATACAAAATTAAAAATCAGTCAAAAATTACCCCAATGTCAAATTAGAGTTAAAATTAAAATTATACTCTTTGCTTCACGCATGAATATTAATGAATAATTTATTAATAAAATGAGACAGTGACGGCTCCGATCATGTTGATCAATTCAAACTGGTATGATGAGGTCGAGAGTTAACATTTTTCCTTCTTTTAGCCACACAGAACACGCAGTCCCAGCAATCTCTGCCACCGGTGTCGTACGTGAAGGCGATCGACGTATGGATGTCCTCGTGCAGCGTGTTCGTCTTCCTTTCCTTGATGGAATTCGCAGTGGTGAACAACTACATGGGACCAGTCGCCACAAAGGCCATGAAAGGCTACTCGGATGAGGATCTTCGAGAGGCCATCGACGACTTCAAGGTAAACGGGGAAAAAGCGTGACGCGGTATTTATTGTTTTCTGTTGGACGCTCCGCAAGCTTCGCGAAATTGATAGCCGAGATAAAGCAAAACACACGGCCCCGTCGCTACGTGAGCAACGCGATTTCATTCTGTCTCGGACGATATCGCTTGGTCAAATAAAAACGCCAAGAACAAACCATGTCCCGTTGTAAACCGCGACCGTCATAAATTATCGACGCTCGTAGAGCCGTAAAAATCGCTGAGATAAAGCATGAAGTTATGTCTAGTTATGTCACTTCAATTAATAAATGAAGCGGAAAGGAAACCCGTAAAACTTTCAATTCTTAATTTATAAAAAAATTTATCTGAACATATTATAAAATATCAATAAATAAATAAATGAAAACAAACACAAGAAACATTTCATAAAAACTCATATTTAGAACGTTTCAGAAAATCCGGATTAATTTTCTTACTTAACATTTTCAATTATAACACCAGTGAAAACCTCTTTTAAAACCCAAATAATCATGTCTATAAACGGAGAGAATTTTATAATAAAAACTACTATGGAATTTTGTAATAGGAGGAATAAAGATCAATATTTTGCAGTAATTTACTTTTCTTATACACGAAAACTATTATAGAAAACTATTATAATTACTATATCTACATATTCTAATTAAAGAGAAAATTTATGTGATTTCAGACGAAATAAATATGGTATTAAAAGTTGTTGTTATTACATGCTTATCTTTACAGTTTTCACAGCTGTAATTCCTATGATATATAATATTCAGTTGATGTATCCTCATATATATAGCCTGAATTAAAGGAATATTGCTGTGTCTCTCTGTTGTGGTCTGCAGAACAAACACTATGGTTAAGAGATGCGTAGAGTTTAGTTGCACCATAGCACTGAGAGTATATTCAAACACATGGATAGGCAGTAAAGAACGTTAATGTATCACTTGTAAAGTATTATGAGTACTACAATATGGGCGAAAAATGACACTAATATTTTGTTATGGCAACCATATTAGGCAAATGACGTTCTTGGTGTTCTCTCCGTGTATGCTATTTATATTTCAGAAACTAAAATAGACTATTTTTTAAAAATATACTATATTTACTAGCAAAATTTACCATGTTTCTTAGCAAAATAGGCTCTAAGTTGGCACTGGAATCATTTTCGCCCCGACTTTTAATTTTTAATTTTAAGTTACCCACAAACTAGCAGAATGAGAACTTTCACGCGTGAGAACTTTTCGGTTCACGCGTAAGAAAGAATTATAGTTAGTACAAATATATCAGCCCTGGACTACTAATACTCATCTTTTTGACGAGTATGTTTCCATCCCCTCCACCCCGTTAGAATTGTCTTATCTGAATTTTCGATAACATATTTTACATTTTCTTGTTAAATATAGTTTTATTTTACAGGAATGCCTGACAAAAAGGCGGATATTAATATCAGCATTGAAAAAGGATGCTAATAGTCAAGAATTCAATACAACTGAGCTGTTTCAATTGCCTGTTATGTAAAAAGGGCAAAATCGGCCAACTGTGAGATCGTTCTTAGTCCCAGTGTGCCAAATTAAAATGTCAAAGTATAAAGTAAAGATCTTCGTTATATTTTACTTCTTTGCACACACACATTACTGATGGTGTATTCCTGCACTCTATGAAAACACATTAAAATTTAAAAAAAATTCATATAAAAGAAAAACCATAATATTCTCTTCGTGTTTGCGATTGCGCGCAAATTTAACTTAGCAATTTATTTAACAATGCACACTGAGTACTCGCACATTTGAACATCTATTCGAATTTTGAAAAAATCTGAGAATCACTTTATTTTTATTTGAGATTCAAGCTTCTCAATTCAACTACTACGTATAGTTACATCGCTTTGATTCGAGATGAAAGAGACACCAAGCAAAATGAGATTTTACGACCTCGATCGTGCCCGACTTTGTAGTCGAGAACGTCTCTTCTCTATTTAATGCGGTACTCCTACAGACGCGGAGTTTACTTCCGATTCTGCCCGAATGTTACACGGCAAATGGCATCGGCGGTGCAAAGCGCGGCGAAGTATCGCCGTTCGAAGTGCAACCGCTCTCCCGGTCTACTATTTCGTATCGCGCGACGAGTAACTTCCCCGACAACTTCGCCGCCGAGCAAGTTCCCAAGTTTTATTTTATCGCGACGCGCTGCATTCGCCCGCCACACTATTACTAGGAGAGTCCTCGCGGGGAGAGAAATATATTTGTTCCCTCCACCTTGCCGCGCGATGGTTTACACGGCGACTTTGCAATTCGCCGCGCGATGTACACAGAAAGCGCATCCCGCCGCTTTCATTACATCCGCCGTAATATTTGCCCGCGTCACTGCGACGGTTTACTCTCACATGCAGCATTATAACGATAAAACGCGTTATTGCATTGTTGCGGAACATGTGTCGCGTTTGTGTTCGCTAGTTGTTCATTTGTGCTGCTGCACGCAAAACTTGCGCTTTACGCTTCACGCTTTAGATACGTTCCCGTAATTATCACGCGGTCTCCTCCCATCTCGAGGATGACCTCGCATTCTCGTGCAACGATCGATCAGTGCGCCCCAAGTAACGATAATACATGTTTTGCTTCATTAAACTGCTATACTAATATACTCTATTATTAGTAATAATAATATGTGAGTTACTCTTATTGTCATTGATGAAATTTTTATTATTAATGATATGTGTGTATTGCTTATCATTATTAATTTACTATTATTATTAATAACACAATATTAGTATTTGTATTACTTATTATTACTATTGCACGAGTAATAATAATATGTAATAATAATTCGTGCACTTACCTTATAACAGCAATAAATTTCAATTTTAACGAAAGTTAACTGTACACAGAAAAAATGCCTGGTTGAATTAATATAATATATTTGGTTGAAAAAGAATTTTGAATGGAGTTTTGTTAAATATTCCAGAAACTTGAAGAATTTTTGTTAAATATTCCAAAATATTTAGGTGCAACATCAGTTATAGATTAATTGCTGCGCGTATCTAATCTACACTAAAAAAAATATACTTGAACATCTAGTTGTGGTATATAAAGCTTGTTTCACAAAAATAAACTTTATTTCACAGAAATAAACTTTGCTTCTCAGAAATCTACTTTATAACTCACAAATAAATTTTCAAGTATTTTTTTCTCACCATAAATCCAATATCTTCCAATATCCAATATCTACGCCTGAATCGAGCATTAGCATTTATAAATAATTAACCTTGCAGAGTTCGTCTTGCCGCTCCTCGTGCACGAGCATTGTGTCGCAATTTTAATTAAATTAACAAAGAAATTACTGCAGCAGAACATAATTTTCACACGAATTATTTACTTTTTGTGACATTAAATTATATTTTTGGACAATTATATAATTATGCTCTGGTTGCAACATATGTAGACAACATATAGCAGATTCATCATTTAGAGAAATGACATAACGGGTAAGACACCCGACTAATACACGGAAAAAAAGCATTTCAGTTGATGTAACTGAATGGGGACAAGGTGAAAAACTCACTGACGAGAAATAATATCTTTGTTACTGTGACTGAAAACACTCGTCGGAATATTCATCTGCATTAAAACTTAGTTGAGATAACTAAGTGCAATTGGCTGAGTGCAGGAATCTTTCTGTTTCTACAACCGAGTTTTTCATCTGGTCCCTAAGTAACAGAAAATCTCGTTACACTAACCGAGTTGTTTTTTTTCCGTACAATCCAGAGGTTCCCGGTTTCAAAACTCATCAGAGTAATCAAGATTTTCTTTCACCGAAATTGCCGCATTCAATCAAATTTGTCTGGTTACTTTAGTCAGAATTATAGATCGTTCATTTCTCACCAAGCAATCTGGCTAAGGAGATGATGGAGTCGAAATCTTTACGGACAAAACACTGATTTTTTTTGCAAAGTTTATATTGGCTGCAAAGAAATACAAATGCGTTTATATGATAAAAATACGTATGAAGATGAATTGAAGCATTGAGTCGAATATATGATAAAAATGATAAAAATTCTAGAGTTGACATTTCTATTGCAAACCTGCCTGTCAGACGCTGTCAGTTAAAATCAATATTCTCCTGAAAGCAAAGATTTGTAGCTTGTATATGCAGAACGCGAGTTTTGTTCCACTCAGAAAAATTTTGAAAAATATTGCTATATCCTTGCATTTGAATTCAGAAGCTTGAAAATACCAGAAAAATTTACAGAAAGATTTCTAAACATGCGTGGTTAGATTTTTCGCTGAATATAGTAAAACAAAGCAACACACATTTATCTAAATTCCATATATATAAAAAATACAAAAAGAATAGCGTGACTGTGTTAGTGACGATCGTTTTTACGTTACCGACATTTTTCAGGTTCGTCATCGACTTCAACATTTCCTTAAGGGGATGCTGGAGTCGATGACGAACTCGAACAATGTCGATAATGCAGAGATGATTGTCACTAACATAATCACGCTATCCTTTTTGTATTTCTTGTATATACAGAACTTACATGAATGTATGTTGCTTTGTTTTATCATATTCAACGGAAAGCTAACCATACATGTGTAGAAATCTTTCTGCAAACTTTTTCGATATTCTTAAGCTTCCAAATGGAGATGCAAAGATAGAGCAATGTTTTTCAAAATTTTTCTGTTTGGAGCATCCACATTTTCGACATGTACAAGCTGCGGAATTTTTGGATTAGACGAATATTTTGGATTACGCCAACTGACAGCTTGAGATTTTACATTAAAAATGTTTTGTCCGTTTTCGTCACATATCAAGCAATGTTCCTATTTATTTTTGCACATACTTTTATTGCGTAAAAGCATTTGTAATTCTGTGTAACCAATGCACATAAACTTTGTAGAAAAATGTCAGTGTTCTATCGGTTTTCAGCTTTCAGCTTCAGCATCCCCTTAAGATTTCAGATTAATTCAACCAATAATTTTCCATGTAGAATACAAAGAAGGTAAGAACGTAAGAGGAAGGAATATACGCATGAATTGACTTCCCATCGTCGTGATTTCCGTTTATTGTTCTTGCATTCTGCATAACACGATTTTCATTTCACCTTGCAGACGCCGATGAGGCCAGACGCCGAGAGAAACAGAAGTCCGAACAGGCCGCCGACGGTGCAGTACGAGCAATGTTGTCGAGGACGCGCCACAGCCATTTACATCGACAAGATCTCCCGATTCTTCTTCCCGTTCTCGTTCTTCATCCTCAACGTCGTCTACTGGAGCACCTTCCTGTAACGCAAGTCGGCGAGCGAGACGCACGCCCCTGACTCGAAAAAACCCACCATTTTTTTAGAGTTCGATTCACGAGAAAGCAAAGTGTCGCGAGGGGCACAGCAATAAATGCGCCGAGACGCGAGATAGGCCGAAGGTGTTTGTGTATCCTGTAAAATATATTATGTGTAAAATACGGCACAATAAAAGAGTTTAGTAAAACTGGGATTAAATGCACGCGTTTTTATATCGAGAATATGTCACGGGACTCGCCAGCATGTATAGGTAGCTTATATTCAAAATGTATGGAAATATATAGGTTGGCAAAATGTGGCAAGTCGAAGCGATCGGTGTTCGCGTGGTTGTTACATGATACACTAAAAAAAAGAACATTCTCATAATAAATTGTGAGAAATACTTAGAAATAAATGTCACTGATACGAGATGTAAAAAATTCTTTTTTATTTTTATACTAACCGATTTAATTTTTAATTCAATTTATTCAACACACGTCCCGCATTTTAGTCAAGATGATGTTCTGTAAAAAATATATTATTAACACAGTGTAACTTATTGTACGTGATATAAGTAAACAATTCTATTTTTTTATGAAATTTATTACTAATTTGGTTTATGGTGTGTACATAAAAAGTATCAAGACATATGAGAACCGATATTAGCTTATTAGAAGAATAATATAGTATAGATATTCTTAAGCTATGAACTCAACTTTTACTAATTTACTAATGTTTGCATACTAATTTACTATGAAGAATATGAGCCTTTAATATAAGTTCGATTTTACTCATATAACAATTCTTTTGATTTACTTCAATTTCCGGAACTATTAAGTCGGTATTTGATAAAAAAGATTGTATGCTTTATACATTTTATCATATTTCATCATATTTCAGAAACATATTTCAGAAACATTATCATGTTTCATCATATTTTATACATTTTATCATATTTCAGAAACTATATTTTTGGTTTGCAAGAAGAAAAATTTTTTCCCATGAAAATAGGTTCTTCGCATCACTGTGCGTCGCCACTATAGTTCATATACTATATGATGCGTGATCATTCACAATCTTCTACAATTAATATCTCATTATTGCGATTTTCACAAAACAATGCTGGACTGTTTTGTTCTCAATCCGTTCTACGTTGTCATGAAAGATTATGAAATCGAGCTGGCACACTCTGTATAATATTCATCTCTTTCTCTGCCATGAAATATAATAGAATATGTAATGCATCGAGACAGAGTTTTCAGAGGTTGCATATTACACGCGTCGAAATGTTTAATGTAACACTTTTAATTATCGATGAAGGTAGCAGAATGCACTTTCATTAAATGAAAGCTACACAAAAGACCAGGCCCCGAGTGAGTGGCGTGTGCTGTCTGACGCATCACGGAGTGTTACTACTGCGGCAGAACTCCGCAGCCTCGTGCAGTAATAAACACGGCGTGTGTATTGGCGCTCCTCGTCCGAGCGACGCAACGTCCCGCTGTAAATAGCTTTCTTTTTGTTTGCTTTTTTTCGAATTCAAAACCTTTGTATGCAATAGCTCCGTGTGTGTTAGAGAGCTTTACTTTTTCTTTCTTCCCCCTCCCTCCTCTTTCTCTCTTATTCTTTCAAGCGCTCGAAAACAATCTCCACAGGTCATCCTTACACAAATTCTCTTACTCGAAGATCTACGCGCAGCAATTTTCCGGAAATTCGCGACGGATTCTCACACCATGGATCAATGAGCCCGACATTGCAATGCAAAATACGATAAAACACAGAGAGAGTCGAACGCAACAAATGTCGCAACGGATGTGCAATTAACGGCAACAATTAAAAATAATTAACAACAATTTGTAAATTCATGCGCGACCGACGCGTCACGCCAGAGAATAATTCAATCGAATTAATTCACACTTCTTGATGTAATTGTCGCATTAACCGCCAAATGTACTCGAATTTTCGTTACTGTAGTCCACAATCGATGAATGATATTATTAACGATGTCCATAATAAACTATCAAAGATAACGACCAAACGTATAATGTAATTACTCTATGCGTAGCTGCCCGACAAACAATTAAATTACCGTAAACGTAACTGTCGGGTAAATATCCAAACGAATTTACATATTTCTCAGTCGACATTTATGAGGATGAGCATTTTTGACAAGTCTGTGAAAAGGCATTCGGGAAGATTTCGCAAAATTTCTCGCCGCGTTTTGCCTCTCCAAATATTTTCGTTCTCCGCGAAAGGGGATTAAATTTTCTACGGATAGTAGGTCGAATATACACTGCGAACTGTATATGGCGCAGTCAATATCCGTCAACACAAAAGGTCCTCCACGCTGCGGTATTATTCCAATCGAGAGATCTCTTATGTTCTTCTTATCACTGTATACATAGAGTTTCCCGCGGGTAATACAATCTCGATATGCCGGGCGATATAAAAAGACGGAAATAAAAGGGGCCCGGATAACGGCATGCGTAAAGCCTCTTCAATAATCATTTCCATTCCGTTGCCGTCATTACCAGTTATGCGTTACCGTAATGCGGCCGGGTTTTCGCGCGCTGAAAGCAACGAGGATGACAAAAGGGAATTCCCTTTCCCTTCTCGCGCGGTGCGACTTCCCTCTCTCGCTCCGGCATTTCCTCGCGTCGTTATATCACTCTCCGCGAGTAATGTTCACGGCGTTCCCGGCTAATAAAATTATTAATCAGGTAGAACTTATTAATTGGATGATTAAATGAAACTTTCAGCGCGCAAGTCGCGCGCGAACACGACTCAGTGGGATTTAATTAGGCCACGTCGAACGCGCGAAAGTGTTCTAATTGTGGCGAGAGATACCGAGAAAATCTCTTATCTTCTCGCGGGTGGATCGCTACGCAAAAAGAATATTAAAGCTTCCTTTCTGTAGAAATCTTTTTCAAATTTACTATGTTTTTCTAGTAACGCAGGAATAGACTGTCAGTAAGACCTATTTTGCTAAGGAACATAACAAATTTTTTAATAGCACATTTCAGTTTCTGATATTTTATATAAGTAACATATATGATGTAAAAGAATAACAAATTACTGCAAAATGTCAATCTACTCCGAATAATAAATAATAATAAATAATAATAAAATAAACTAAAAAATAGCCAGAGTTGGGAACGTTACTTCAAAAAAGTAACGCTTTATCGTTATCGTTACTTTTCGTAAAAAAATAACTTGTTATCATTACCATTATTAAGAAAATAATGATAATCATTACTTTTCTATTACATTTTTATAATACTAAAATAAAATATGTTATTGAGAATTTATTTTAAAATGAAATTATTGTTTTTAAGCTTAAATTAATATTTTTAGAGCAGCTGATTTATTTAAAAAAAATTAATCATTTGAAACTGTCAACAATCCTGACTTAGAAAACTAATATATCTTTATGAATTTAATTTTTTTCTTATCTTTTATTATTTTTTATACAAAACTTTTTTTCGGTACAGAGTGAGATTCTTTAATTTGACTCTTAAGAATTCTTAATAAATTTAATAATAGGTAAGTGTATTTAGTGTAATATATTTATTCAATAGTTTCTTATAAAAGTGAATTATACTAAGAGTATACCTATTATTAAATTTATTAAAAATTTTTTATAGCTAAATTATAAAATTCTTCTTTGCGCTAGCAATCACTTTTATATAAATAAGATAAAACCACGTATTGTCTTCCAGCGAATATCGAGATATTTCTATCCAATCAAGAATACCTAATACATGCTATCAGCGCGCGATCATCGCATCATCTATTGAATAGAAATAATAATAAAAGTAACAGTTGACCATTTATTACCGTTACTGTAAAAATATAATGACATTACCGTTGCCGTTACAAACAGAAAAAAGTAACTATCGTTATCAAACAAAAGTAACGACGTTACAAGTAACACATTATTTCCTAACTCAGGAAATAGCCACTAACCGATCAGAAATTTTAATTACTGTCTAATATTTATCCAATATTACCGAAGAGAATTTTATTACTATTTTTCAAACAATCACGTAAAACTTTAAGTTATTAATTAAAGAAAATTCGTAAATAATCACACGCCATACGGTAGATGAGTTGTGATGGCGACGTCTGCCGCCATGTTTGTATATTAAGTTAAACTGAACAAAAAAGTCCTCTACTATTTTGCAAATGATCATATAGATTCTCAGTTATTCATTCAAAAATATTGAATTACATGCTTTGCACGATATGCTTTGTACTAATCTTCTTTAATTAATAACTGCAATGATCATTTGCAAAATGATAGAGAACTTTTTTGTTCAATTTGTTAATCTATCTTTGTCACGTTGTCTTGCATCAAACACCTTGTATATCTTCTTGTTCTTTTTATATAATTAATCAGTATTATTTCAATTTTCTTATTCAGTTGTCCAATGAATCGTAAATAGTAAAACCTTGACACGTGACCAACTTACCCCGGAAATTTGTCTACAAAATTCTGCAGTAATTTTCACTGTAAAATTCTCTTCGTGTACGAATCATTTTCATGAAGTTATTTACTTGGCAGACGATCACTCGACAAATTCCGTGTTGACAATATTACTAACAAGATCAAACGTAAGAGTGAAAAAGCGAGCGAGGAGAGGTGAGCCGATGAAAATCCAAGGATCAAATTCTGCGGATTTGCATTCCAGTCCGCACATCGAGGTATTTCTAATCTATTTTCTCGCCACAGATCCGAAAGCCGCGTGCGTCAGAGCTACGTTCGTGTAATTTCTTTTACACCCATGTAACGGGTGGCGCCAGATGCCTCTGACGTACAATAACGATCAATCCCGATGTGAATGGAGGCGGCCCTTTCGCCCCTCTTTTAATCGCCCGCAATTACGTGCACGCCGCCGTCGGTTCTCATCATCCGGCAATTACTTAGCTAAGAGCAATTAATCGCGGCGAGCCACGCCCGCGTCGCGCGAATAATTACATTCACATAAGGAATCATATAATTGTCGTCGGATGCGCCGGTGAATGGACCGTCCCCCCTACCACCCCGTTTCTCGGCACGTCGCGTCCGAAATATTCCACTCACGTTCGCTTTTCATCTTCTCTCTGCATTCCGCGACCTGGCGCCACCACCTTGTCTTGGGTCTGCCGCTTCCGCGAGGAAACGCCGACGTTAATTTCGCGACGTTCCACGCACCGTCGCCTGCGCGTGACACATGTCACCGACGCGCCGCGCTTAATTAGCCATTAAGGAGTATAATACAATTGTTTATCGCGATACATCGGTCGCCTGTCCGAATGTCCACTCGCCGTTGATTTATCGTCGCCCCGGTAGAAGTGTCGCGCGCGATCTACTCTACTGAATATTGTATCTTATAAGACAAATGGATCTCACTGCAACTGTCGCGAGCCATCTGAAAATCTTGTCGGGATTCCGCGATCTCGCCGATCGTGTCCGATTCAAGACGACTCGTTGTCTGACCTTCAACGAAGATTTTCGACTTTAAAACATATAAAAGTTGTTATGGATCAAGATTTATAAATTTTGAATATTTAACTTTAAATAGTATAAGGTAAAAATGCTTAATTATATTGGCATCCTCCTTAGTCTTTGACATTCTAGAAACACCTGAGAGAAAAATATAGTTGCTTTCGGCGTCAACTATACTTTTTTGTGACTTTAACCAGAAAAATAATTAGAAGAACCATCTTTCTAATAACACTTTCTAATAACTACTAAAATAATGGTTTTTCTAATTATTTTTGTGGTTAAAATCACAAAAGCGCGGAAACGCCGGGCCACGTGTCCTTCGTAGGGACTTCTCCATGATCTTGCACACAAGGGTACTCGTGCCTTTTCCTCACAACATTCTAAGAGGCTCCTAGATAGGAGAGCACGACCAATCACTCGCGCAAACAACGTAGCAGTCGACGGCAGTTCGACCGCAAACCGAACCGGCCGCTCACCATTTCAAGCCGTTCGAAACAAAGGCAAATATGTTAACAGATAACACAAGTGATATGTTGAAAGTT